AATTAATCCTGTTTGAAGTCAGCAAATAAATCCAAAACATCTTATTTTGAAATCTATAATCAGGCCTACCTGAATTATACAGTATAGTACATGTTTGCAAACAATTTATAATCACATAAAATCAGCCAAACAAAAACTGAATCAAGATTTTGTCCATTTAATTTTGTATTCTCTGTGACAAGATATCACAACTTAGCTTCTTTATTTTGAAAACCAAATTAATTTACAAAATGCCTCTTTCAAGTTCATTACAGATTTCCATTTTTGTTATAATGTTTATTCAACTTTTGACAAACATTCATAATGTTAGCTAAATATGAATGATACTTTTATAGATATATATATATTATTTATTAAACACAGGGGTTCTTAATTAAAATAGCTTAAATTAGGTAAAAAATGGAATCTGGTTGTCTGATATATGATCTCCCATGATCTACAGAAAACCTGAGCGTATTGAATATTTTTTGCCAAGAAAAGCGTTAAATGTTGGTAAGTGTTCACTACAGAGGGTATTTTAATACAGAAGTTAGTAGAGTATGTGTGGAGGAATGGTGTCTACAAGAGAGGTGTTCACTATGACAGGTTTTACTGTATATATTAAGTATGTAAACTGTATAGCAGAAATTGTATTTGATCAATTGCAATATCTTTGTAACTGATTATGTATACATTTGAAATTAAACTGTTATATTCACATTTTAGATGTATTTTCTCAATACCAGCCCTGGGGTTCAAACCTTTTGAGAATATCAAGTTTCTTAGTAAATAAAGTCAAGTATTTAACAGCAATTCAAAGCTAATTTTTAGCCTTTGGAAATCAAACCATACAATTTACTATTTATATTTACCTAAAAAAGGATTCAAGTAAACATCACCTTGATCTAACAAAACTTATCAAACATGTAAATTTCATTGGCTATTGTGAACTATTTCACATATTTCATAATCTTAATACTTAAAATTTAGTAAAAACACCTAAAGGCTGCAATTAATCTACATGTTTCTAGATTGTGCACTCATAATGAATGCATGTAAATTGTAATTCATCATGATCTAAGGAATAGCTAAGAATTAGGGGGAAATCTCATGTAAGGGTAATGAATGAATGAAACATGATTTGAAAAACTATTGATCCGGTGATTCATATATCATATCTGACAGATGTAAAGTAGGTAGCAAAAAAAACAAAAATATTCTCAAAAAGCCTTTTTATAGAACAAGTTACAAATACAAAGAAGATTTGAAACTCTTAAATAAAATAACAGTTGGGATGCAACCATGACGTGTTTAAGTAACAATGCTTGTATTAGAGCAGGGAAGTATTGAATACAGTCACAGAACAGAGATCTTTTCTATAACTTGGATTTAAGATTCAGGCATTATCAAGAATTTGATAGTTTTTAGTAAAATATACAACAAATATTTGAATTTGGTACAAAATTCTCCACATTTTAATAGACTAGATGCGAGTAGAAATGATCTTGATTTACGTCATTTAATATTCAAAATTCAGTCAAAGTGATGTCATATTTGAAATCTACATGTAAAAATACATCTATAAATATGGTTTCGAAAATTGTTTATCAACTTTGAAAATTTAATATTTTTTAAAAATGTGACTTCTAGCTCGGGTTGATTCCCCATAGACCCCATATTACAAAATCACAAAAAGTGAAATATCTTTTCTTGTATTGGACATCTAACATTTTATTTTACTGGACATACTTTAATTTGCATAATTATTTGATACATAAGGGCTATATGAAAATTGAACCACTAAAACCTATGTAATTTAAGTTAAAGGGAACTTTCTACTATAACCACCATGCTATCTGACCCGAGCGAGCCACCTGGTGGTAAAACTGGTTACTACCTACTCGCATTTGCGTTATTGAAGGTACATTTATTGTAAAAGCCTACCTATATTATACACCAGACCCCAATCTGTTCCAAACTTCAAAATTGACATGTTAAGATATTTTCCTCTCTGATGTCCTCCTCAGAATAAATATGATACTTGTCATGTAATTGTCATATTATCATTATCCTTCGAGTAAGTACCTATAAGTCAATATATAATTGATATATGATCAGTTTTAGAATCTGGCAAAATAATGAATGTGTGGTTGTAGTGCAGATCCTTGCCCTATGCGGAAATGGAGGGAAATTATCAACACCTTTTACTCCAAAACATTTACCATCTGCCTTTACTTTCTAGCATTCCTCCACACATGAGAGTCTTGACCATATGTCTGTATATGTTACTCCTTGCTAATTCCACTTTTTGTCACTCTATTTTGCATTTTGAAACATGACCAACATGACAATTTTCTTTCTCTAACGACGTAATTGTTAATTTATTGCATTGCATCATTACATTATGTTTGAATTTGATTGATTCAATATGACATTTATAATCCATAAGCAGACATAGATTTCATAGAGTAATAAGTGGCCTTGATGTAGTCATGTTCCAGAGTTATATTTCCACAGACTTTAAAAACTCCACTATGACTCCACTTATGGCACAGTGATTCCAGTGAATTACTTGCAATTATCTCGAAGAATTATTATAAGAGCATCCCATACAATTAAAAAACTCATGTTCTGAAGCTATCTTGAATTGGTCGCTATATTCCAATATTATACAGCAGAATTCAAGGTTATATATTCATCATTTACATAAGATTTACAAGCAACATTTCTCTTTTCAATTCAGCAATCATTACAAGCCATTTAGACCAGCTTGCTCTACAGGAAAGTCAAGCAAATATTCAATATTGACTCTCATGTTTTCAGTTCAAATAATGGTCCTGCTTAGTTCTCTGTCTACCTTGTTTAAATACATCTTTTATTACCCGTCCCTTCTGATCAGTGATTGTAAAACATATGTTTCGATCACTTCGTATAACAAACCCGCTCAGATTGTGTTTGCATGTGTTATTTAGATGAATTATCATTGCACATTGCATTTATTTTGTTTCATTTACTCTTTTTATGTTATAGTGCCCAGATCGTCAAAATTAAAAGATTGCCCTTGTGCACTTATAATACTGCCCTTTTAAACGTAAATAAAACAAAAATAAGTAATGAAATTACATGTAATATCACCCTTATTAAGACAAATGAATGCAACTAGTCCGATTCTGATTAGGCTGATCTGATTAATTTTGAACTCTAATTTTGATAGGAAAAGCTCCATTTACATGTAGGTGTGGAAATTACTGTTAGCAAAAATTTGATAATATCAATATTTTTGCTATAACTGATAATAGCAATATTATTCATTATTATTACCACCTTGCTGGGCCAGTTCTAGGGGTTTTAGTGCTAGTTTAGAAGGCGTTGATTTTACTATATCGACCTGACAAATGTGTGACGTCATAGTGGTGGTCCATATGGACCGGTCTAGAATATATTCTGGACCGGCAATTTTCCCCGGGAAATTACATATCGTTCAATGCGTAAGATTTTCTTGCTGTTTCAGTCCTGGTCGTTAACGGTGGTAATAATACTAATAACGTCATTTCTGCGAGCAATATAGTGAAATATTGGACCTTTGGCCTTCGGCCCTCGGTCAAATATTTCACTATATTGCCCTTAGATATGATGTTATTGTACTATTATTTCCATGCCGTGATACTCGTTCTCTCATTGGTCAATTAGATACCATGTGACTAAAAATATATAGAGGTACATGTATTGCAATGTCTCCCTGCTTAGAAAACGTGTGAATTGTGTATTCACCGGCAATGATGTCATTTTTAGTGAATACCACTATTTATTCAATTAAAATGACGTCACATCACTTAATTCCCGGGAATTTAGTAAAAAGTATTTGTATCCGATATGACAGACGGTGAAGTTGTTTCAGGAAGTCCTCCCAAGAAAAGGTTGAATCCTGTATAATAAACGCGGGATAAAGATTTTACAAATGTATTCAAAATGTCACAATCAAAAACTATAGACCCGAATCTAATTTTTATATATTATGGTGTAACAGAGATCTTGATTTATAACAGAATATTGGCAAATGTTTGGAAATACATTGAAACCAAACGTCATATGCCCAAGACCAAAAATATTTTAGCAATATTTTTGATAATATTGACATTATCAAAACTAATGATTTTGATAATTTTTTCCTCAAAAAGCAACTTTCAATGTTTGTTGGCCTTGGATTACTTATTACTTATATAAATTCTGAGACTATTCAGCTTCACATGTTTTATTTCCCTTCTCTGCCTCTGAATATGTCACCTCCATTCTATATAAAACATCCATATTTGTTAACTTGTGGTTATCAAATAGAAATGCAATTTGTAAGATGACACCAAATGGTAAACTTCAACATACACTTTGAAAAATATATAAAGAGATATCCCCTTATCTGTGTTTAACAAGATTTTTTACAATCAGAAGGGTGTTTGTATTCTAAATTAACATCAATGGGATAAATGGCTATGAAGTGCTCATATGAATTAGACTAACTTTTAATAACATATCAGTTTGAGCCATCTCATGTATAACTGCTTTATCATTCTACTCAATGGGTTAGTTGAGAATAACTTTAAATGTAAAAGTCAATTTGTTTTTAATACTGGCTGTGGATCCCTAAAGGCATGAGAGAATACAAAGGACCACAAGTTGTTTGTAGAATGAATTGGGGGGGTTTTCATGCAATTTGCTTGTATTTTTCATCTAAAAAAACATCAATACACTTTAAAACATTTTATTGACTATAAGATTACACCGTATAATTCCAAAAGATATTCCCCATTTTCAAGGATTAACTATGGATTAATGTTTTCATTTTTTATTTTTGATTAGAAATAAATAATGACAAGCCATTCAATATGGTGAAATTCTACACTCGTTGGACAGAATGTCAGTGCAAATGCACTCACCTTCAGTTCATGCTTTGTCCAACTCATGCTGGATTTCACCATATTGAATGGCCTGTCATTATTTATTCCTTAAATAATAAATAAACTTACATTTTTTAGTTTTCTTTTTGTCTCCAGTATCAAACTCAACTCCAAGTGATTTCAACCTGTCCTTATCTGTTTTAGACAATGCAACGTTTTTCTTAACCTTGACTGGCTTGCTAATTTTTAAGGGAGCCTCCTAGAATATAAATTAAATTTGGATTTATTCCATCATTGAAGACATTGTACGACAATGCTTTTTTTAGATTGAAAATCAATATAATCGCTGCCTCGTTTTAAGGGTTTCAATGGGACCAGTATGATATAATATTCACTGTGTTTAATTTTCACTTCATTTGCTGAACATACATGTAATTTCTAGTGAAATAAAATATACATGTTGTTGAATATTACATAAACATCTTGGCCAGCAGAAACCAGGAAGCGCATACATATAATATGTTAATATTTAAATTCATTTATTCAAAATGCATTGCACATCATAATAACATTAGTTCTATTGTCATATTTTGTTAGGATTGTAAATTGCAAATTATAGATTAAAGTAACAAGTAATAAAGTAAAAATAGCTATATGTAGTCAGCAAATTATACAAACAGCGATAAAATTTAAGCAGCTCATTTGTAATTTAAGTGCAATCCTATCTGCAAGTCATGGATTAGCATGAGCTTCTGATATCACAACATCATCATGATAATAATACATTCTTATTTTTTAAAATCTATGTGCATACAATTAAGACAATGAGATGCAGGGTGAAAAAAGCACTCTTGAATCAAGAAGGGTTACTAAGTTTGGCAATGATCATATGGTGTCATATGTTATTGTAATGGAGTAATTGAAATGTCCAAAATTGGTTCCTTTTTAGATTTTCATACAAAGAAACATCCCTAAAAATCTCAAATTTTGGACATGCTGGGTATTCTTTAAGGCAGCTTTTGAGATTTCCTGTCCTTAAATCTTGTTTGTTCATCTTTCCAAGCAAACTGTTTTCTGGAAATATACATTGATTAACAATAGTTTGCCTGGAAACATGTAGACAAGGTTAATCAGGATACCCACCCGCCCCCAACCACCTGACATACCACACAGCAAACTGATCAGCAAACTGATTCTAAAAAGGTTGTACCTGTACAGGTTCAGTTCCTATGAGACAGTACAGCTCTTCATCTATCCTGTCTAATATAGAATCTACACCATCAATGTGATTCCTTCCTTCATTCTGGTTGGATGATTGAGAGTCAACTCCATTCTGAATGGCCAATTTTGAAGTAATTCCATTTTGATTGGTCAGTGAGCTATTTGCTTTGTTTTGTTTGGTTAACCTATATGTAGAATTGGTTGGTTTAGATGATCCTGCATTCTCACTAGTAAGTTTTCTTGACTTTGCATGTTGTTTAGCAGACTCTGGGCTGGTTTCAGGGGTAGTGAGATCATTCAGGGTATTCTCTGCTTGGGAATCAAATGCTGAAAAATTCAATGAAATTTTTAATCGTAAATTGTTCTTTCAGAACAAGGAAAACATTTTGCCAAACTTTTTAGACCAGCATGCCAACATTTTAATGAGAAAAGAATGATACAGTAAAACAGTGTACATGCAGGGTGCCTCATCAGCGTCAGCCCGAGCGCCCACTACCAGTTACTTTTGATATGGACCAGTTCACTTTCAAATGTCACCAGCCTGGTTGACCAGTCCACCTCTTGGTCAACATAGAGTACATATCGTAACAAACTGCCCGATTTCAAGAAAATAAATTCATATTTCAAAGTTATTGTTATTTCGATTCAGCAAAGAACCGGTATTTTCGTTGAATGTTAAGTCACTTAAGCGAAATTAGGCCAATAAAATTTGACGTACTTTATTGCCTTTGTTTTCTCAAATGAAAGTCCCGGGAATGTATCAAACAAACCTAAGGTTGATAAATGCTTCATAAGTTCATACTGGTCAGAAATTTCTCTTATATTACTGAATAAAACCTTGAATTATCTAACCACTGGGTTTAAAAATCTTAGTTACCTTGAACAGAAGGCTTCGTTATGCATTAATAAGTTCACAAGTAAATTACATTCTTGATCATGATCAGCTCCCTGATTCTCGATGCGCAGAAGCATTGCGCAGTAGATTTATCCATGGCTCACGATCTATCTGAGTTCTCACCAAGTATGTTCAATTACTCCCCCGAGTTGAGAGGTTATACTTACTAGATTTGAACTTGATCGAACTTAAGATACCACATACAGTAAAACCTGTGTTAGTGAACACATCTCTCTAGTGAACACCTTTCAACAGTGAACATTTTTTTTCGGCAAAACCTTTTTCCCCCATTGACTCCCATGTTAAAGTACAATCCTATAGTGAACACCTACCTACTGTGAACAGTGAACATTAAATCTTGGCAAATTTAATTGAATTATCCTGTCTCTAGTGAACATTGAATCTGATACATAAGATTTCTGCAACTGCCTTATCAGAGTTAAGCAGTTAATGTTAAAATTACCTGTCAAAAATAATTATTAAAAGGTCAATTTGAGATTTTGATCTCTTGTATTGAAACAGGTGTGACTTACTTCGGTCCAAAGCCTTCTCTATATTCCGGCTTTGAGGAGGAAGATTGAGCTGCCTTAGTATTATAAATATTGTAAATCATTGTGTCACACGCACAGTAAATATGGCATAATAATATGAAATATACCTTTATGTATAGATTTGAAGAACATCAGCTCACATCCCCGTCTGAATCTATTGTTATATTTGATTTCTTTAGCGAGAATAATTTCAAATATTGAATTCACGTCCAGAACCGGAAGCCATTTTTAGCTACAGCGAGAAAATTCCACCATGTGTCAAACTCCGAAATGAAATTTTGAAATATCTTAATCCAGACAAGCAACGCTTCATCCTAAATATGATTAATATTCTTAGAAATATTTATAAAATTTATTAAAAATGAATTCTAGGTGCGTGTAGGTGCGTGTAGCACAGTACATACAAAATCAATGAAGTTACGTCTAGCTGTAAGCTAGAGACTCGAGTAAGGTGTGACTAATTATAATTCTTAGTAAGCTTTGTTTTTGTAAGGCAGGATATGTGTTTAGCAGTGTCTAGAAGCATTGATTGCTTTAATTGGAGATAATCTGGTTAACTATTATTACCTCTATCTCTATCTGCTAAGTCCCAACTAAATCTTTTTCTCATCTCCATCATTTTAAAAACCAGATAAGGTTAAAATTATAAGATCATTCTTAACTGACTCCATCTTGTAGTTTAATTAATTCAATCAAGTCCTTTAACTGACTCAAATGTGTTAAGAATTCCAAAGAATTATGAAGAGATTAAAATTTGACAATAAAAGGATGAACCATTCAGGCAGTCTAAAATAAGTAAGTTTGTATAACACAACAAAAAAAAACAAAAAATTGTTGCAAGTGTCATGGGTTATCATAGGTATAAAATACAAATTAAATCAGTTATTCCCTCCTTTATTATTTAGGCTCGTTTAATAACTGGGCTCTTAAATATAATATGGCAAAATGCCGCGAAATCAAATCCTTGCTGTAGTGAACACCTACCAATAGTGAACATTTTTCTTCGGCAAAAAAATGTTCACTATACACAGGTTTTACTGTACATGGAAATCCAGTCAATCTAACATTTTAAGGGGGTTACGATGATAAACTAGGTATGAAAAAGAATTCACTTTTGATTTTATTTAACAATGTCATACTGCTAGACTATGTATCACTTTACACGCTTTTATTTCAGAGTTTGTAGGGATCAGTATCTTAAAAAGGGAACTTTGTGCATCTTTTGAATTGATCCTCTTTAAAAGGAACATAATGAACTTCTTAAGTCTATTGACAATGAGGATGAACAAATAATACAATATCAATTAATTATTAATGTACATTAAAATAAATCAATATATATTATTCAAATATATCTGTAGAATTACTTTTAAGCAGTTGTAAACAGGTGTCTGATTGTTATCAGTTATATGAATGAATTTTGACTTTTCGTGATCAATTCAAAAAGTACTAAATACTGAGAAGTGCCATTCTGATACTCATAGCATCTCTCTCTATTGCATCGCAGATGCTCTGATATTTCGAGGTTGAAATGCCGATCAAAGGGGCGGGCCAAAATATTCATAATATTGATTAAGACACATAAATTTGACTAAACCGCGATAAGAAGCCCTATTGAATAAACATTCTGATACTCATAGCATCTCTCTCTATTGCATCGCAGATGCTCTGATATTTCGAGGTTGAAATGCCGATCAAAGGGGCGGGCCAAAATATTCATAATATTGATTAAGACACATTTTGACTAAACCGCGATAAGAAGCCCTATTGAATAAACATACCACAGTCAAAGTTTTATCGGATGAATTCCAACTGGACGAAAGAAATCCCATGAATTGTTTTCTAAGTGAGTCACGTGACCTTCCATAGCTATCCAAAAATTCGTTAATGTCTTTATAATTCATACATTTCAAATCTCTTCGTTTTATTCATCGATTAAATGCTATCTATAAATCTCATGTAATGTAACTGTATGATTTAGATAAAGTTAGACCAGGATATTTAAGTGCTTAAAGGGTTCCGATTAGCATCCCGTATAAAAACAATATGGCGGCTCCAGGCAAATCAACTGGATCAGTCCATTTTTAAGAAATAAGGGGAGTTCTGTTAAATCCAGTTTATTGAAATTGTCTTTGAGATAAAGTAATTTGTTAATAATGATTTTGAAAACGTTATCCAAAAAGTGATTGCGTTCAAAGAATACATGTACAACAGCCAATATAAATCCTTGTATTAGAAACCGGTTTGTCTTGCTTTGTTTCATTTGTAGGATATTTCATATGCCAAGCTGTGTGCTATTACGTTATGGGGAAATTTAGATGCCAATTTTTCCTTATTATACACAAATAGAAGATCCTGAAACTTCACCCATAAATGTGGAATTGATTTGTCAAAATAAAAATCACCCTTTTATAAATGTGTGACAATCTATAATATACTTATGGTATATAACAGTTAGAGGTGTTGACACAACGACCTCGAACCTGTGAACCCTTGAGTATTATTCCGGGATCGGGCCTTTTATACTAAACGGTGAGCAACACCAGAAACGAGCGTTCGATTTGCTAAACGATATGCGTCACCCTTTAAGCCGTTTTTATTCAACAAATTTTTTTCATAGCGAGATTCAACTTTCCATAAGCTTAAAGTATAATCTCAGTTCAAAATGCCACCGAAGTCAAGTTTAAACTACAATCCCGACTAAAATTCAGTTTTACGATGGGATAGACTCACTAGCGATGCCATTCTGTGTATTGTGTTGGACTGAGGTGCCGCACCTACCACACCCTTAAATCTCATGTCAATCAACATACGTCATTGTGTTTCATGCTTCTGATTGGACAGCTCTAAAAAGCTTGATTTGAGGATCGCAGAGATCAAAACTAAGTCCACATAAGACCCCGTTCTCTCCAGAAGGATAGAGATGGAGAGGGCGTGGCTTACCACGATGGAGAAGTGCTAGCTCCGTAAGTTTCTGCACACAGTAAAATTTAAATGATCTTTCAGTGTTTTTTTTTTCCAAATACTGATGTTTATCTGGCTATTTCACTTCAAATTGTTCTTCTCTAAGGTAGGTGGCTTTATATTCTTCTATTTTGATCATGTTTTGAGTAGAATAAAAAGCTTTATGAATGGAATTTATCACTTTAGCAAACGTCAATATTTTTGCGAACAGCAATCTTATTCTGAATAAACGAAAGGTTAAAAACCAACCATAATGTTTTCGAACCGAATGTACCGACCCAGGCCTAAGAACTGCGGAGCACCATGGTTTCGGTGCACTGTTAGACCCTTAGTAATTGGCTCTTATGAAACACCCTGTGTACATGCTATATCAATGTGTCATGTATAAAATTTCAACAAAATCGCACATACATACATGGTAAATGGTGGCCATTTTGAAAACAAACTACTCCCCAAAGTGTCATTAGACAGTGTGCCATCCTTATTGTATTCACATATCAAACATGAACAAATTCGCTCAACTACTTTTCGAGTTATAGTAAAAAACGTAAAAATGTCAGCCATTTTTCAATATTCCCATATCAAATATGAACAAAATCGCTCTACTACTTTATGAGTTATAGTAAAAACAGAAAATAACACACGTAAAAATGGCAGCCATTTGAATTTGCCTTCTACCAAAACTGCCATTAGACAGTGGCCATGTATATAGTATTCACATATCAAATATGAACAAAATCACTCCACTACTTTTTAAGTTACAGCAAAAATCGTAAAAATAGCGTGGAAGTGCAACCATTTTTCAAGATGGTTGCCATGCGCTTCTTAAATATCTACATTTCTAGCTATATTTATGTCCTATATAATTTTCTTACATTTAAAACATAATGATTTTACAGTTTTATATACTGTACTCTAAAATCGGCACTAAAATGGCTGCCATTTTTAAACAAGCGGCCATTTTGAAAATCTGCTTTCTAGCAGAACTTCTACCCCCATAGGGCATATGTGTAAGAACATATATTTTTGTCATACCTGTATTAGACTCATCAGACTCAGACTCCTCACTCCACTCCCCATCAGCCATACATTCCTCCATTGCTTCACTTTCCACCTTGTTCAAAAACAAAAAACAACATACATCAAACATTGTGTCCAGGATGTCCTATTTTTCCATACATGCTAAAAAACTAAATTTCCCTAGGTCTAAAACAGCAGCATTATACTGCATGTACTTTTTATATTCTACAAGTACTTTTATGTTGTGTAAATTCATTTAAAAGAACAACATTAACAATTCTTTAATTATAAACATTCTCAACAGAATATACCTGATGTTTCTTCAATTGACCTTCTATGTATCTTTCATCATTTGCAGCAAAACAATCACCTGCAGCTTTGTCTCTTTCATTTACATCTGCAATCGCATATATAATGACATCACCATTAACAGTATCATTCAAAGAGTGATGATATTATGACTCACAAGTAGAATGACAGTCAAAAAACAATAAAGTAGTTCATCGAACATGATATGATGGAATGTTGTTCCTTCTCTTCACAAATTCATCTAAGTATTCACAAATAAAATTTCAACAAAATCGCTCTACTACAATGCAAAATAGCACAAATAAAAATGGCCACTATTTTCAAAATGGCTGCTCACTAGACATTGTCATAAGTAAGTGTTTGTATATTGATTTTAAATGATGGAAACTATCAAAAACACTGTCAATTGTCTTTTGAGCCACACTCAATTTTGATAGCTTTGCCAATTTTCTATTATTTAAAACAATAAAAAAAGAAATGCACTCTTCTTTGTTACAACTGTACATTCTTTAAAATAGGTTCATTCTAATATGTTGCTTCCTAAGTGGGGTTGAATGCTTCATAAATACTTCATAACAGGCAGACATCTTTACACAATGACTTCAACCAGTGTACATGCACCATTGAGTATTTTCTGGGATTGTACTGTGAACAGTGAGCAATACCAACAAGTGTTCAAGTTTTATGTTATCCTAAATTCAGGAAACAATAAGCAATATCTTAATACTTTATGCTAATGATTAAATTTTGCATTGTTATTTAAGGTAGCATACAGTTTATGATGCTGATATCAATATAAACATTGCAGTTTCAAGCCCATAGCCAGCTTTTCTCAAGAGGGATCACTTTTTAAATAATTCCAGGGGGGTTCAATTTTGACAATGTTGGTCCAAAAATGGCAAAAATCACTTAAAAAGTACTCAGAAAATGATAAACTGCATGTTTTGAAAGAATTTTTGGCCAGGGGAGGTTCACTCGATCAAATCGAACCCTCCCCCCACCTGGCTACGGGCCTGAGTTTTTAATAGAACATCTTGTCAGCTGAATCTAACACTTGGACGTTAATATCTTTCTCATACTTTAGATCTGTATTCACTTACTTTAGATCTGTACTCACTGCGCTGTAGAACTGTATTTATACATTCAATAGAACTGTATTAACATTCATAATTTTGCTTTAGAACTACAACTGTATACTAACCTGTACATGAGCTGTAGAATGAATAATCCATCCCTGTTATTCCATACTATTCTAATGAGGTAATTAATGTATAAGATTAAAACATTAATATTTTGATTATGATTTTCAGTTAACCATCTAAGATTCAGGTTTGAAGTCCTGATCCTATAAATTGCTATCAACTAGGATGTTTGGTTAAATCTGACTACCCAACATTAGCCTAAAAATCCAAGTCAATATATTAAACCCTATGGTAAGGGCTGAGGTACAAAAGTCACTCCACCTTGGTGGGAATGAAGCCCACAACCTCCTGATTAATATATGATCTAACAATTAATCTGACTACTTTATGTCATTTCACATTCCACCTTTAATCTATCATCAATATAGCCAATTTGTAATATTGAAATATGGATCTTGGGATTCCAGACTTTCTTGTTCGCAGTTCGCACTTTAATCTATTGATCTGTTTAATTTGTGCAACCTGCTGGATTTTCCAATCCTTATTATATCAACCCAAATAAAATATCTGTTAATGTTCTAGTTGCTTGGAAGTCTGTTTCATGTGTTCCTGATTTTGTCAGGATTATTCATTTCTTTTCTACAAGTATGTCATTTTGCCTTAAAAAATACAAATTATTGATACATATTTGCAGCAGGTAGATTTCTCTAATGGTGCAACTATTAACAATTCTGTAATCAACAATTTATCACTATTAATTCAATGGCTTCCATGCACTTTCAATATATGGTCCTGTTTCCTTGTAAAGGTCAGTTGCGTATGTGTTTGTTTCTGTCCTTCATCTGTTCAACTTATTTTCCCACTTTAGGTCAATAATTTGAGCAAATTGTACTGGGAATCGTTCACATCAATGTGGACTTGGAGTTTTTTCCCTTATTTTCGGAAATTCTGAAGTCTTTATTTGTAAATAAAGAAATATAAAGAATGAGTTTGAAGTATGTGATTTCCTTGTAGTTTTCCTTTGTAGTTTTTGTTATTCCCCTCTACTCATTTAAACCTATTTTCTTATCAACATTACATTTATTTCAAAATACAATAATTAAATTGGATTCAAAGTTTAGCAAGAACTAGTTACTAACGGTTCTTGCATTTCTTATCCCTGCAAATACTAACCGCTGTGACAATACACATATAACCAGCTAATTTTAATAAGATTTTCTATTGGCATAATGGGTAAGTGGGTTATGAAAGGCTTAAGTGTTTAAGAAGACTTTAAACTATGATAAAAGTCTTTGAAACAGTTTGGATAATGTTAATTGCAGAAATAACAGACACAATAATCTTGTATAGTAAAGATATTGCAACAGTGTGCATAAATGTGATTTTGAATTTGCACAAGGCCTAGTGGCAATGAACACACTAACAGTGACTAATCCAACTACTGTACACTTATAATGTAAACCTATCCAAAATCTAATAGAGTTGATGAATGATATAAAACTGATCATATATCAAAATTGTTGTAAACCCATCATTTTTTAAACTTCGGCCATTAATGAGAACAGTGATAAGGGACATGAGATCATGTGATGAGGGCCAGAACAAGAATATGATAAGAGCAGATTACAATGATTGGAATGGCTCAATCATTTATATTTGAACAGTAACAAACAGGTACATGTAATTAATTTATAAATGAGACATCTTCGTGATTTGTAGGCACAGGTATTTTCATTCCATCTTACAGACCCACTCCCTTTGGTAGGAAACATCGTACCATTTATATCATGCTAAGGAAATTAAAATTCAATGACAAAATCAAATAAAGCTCTTGTACATGAACAGTAAAAGTTGTCTTAGTGAACACCTCTCTCTAGTGAATACCTGTGTCTAGTGAACACTTGTTCGTACCACATACTTCACTGACTTTTGTATAAAATCCCCTCTCTGTAGTGAACACCTACCTACAATGAACACATGTTATGGCTCTAAAGGTGTTTACTATAGGTCAGTAATAATTTGGAATGCTTGGTAAAAAATGGAAAATCTAAAGTTATGCAAAGTTTTTGCCCTTCAACATCCCAGTCATATTATATTCCCCTTGTCTGAAACTTGTCTGATTGGTTACAATTTACCACAATCTGGCTCCCTACAATGTCCAAAATAAAATAAATAAAAAATACAATGGAATACAACCAGAAAAAAAACCTTAACTGGTTAACACCAGGGTTTACACTATATGCTACTCAGTTATCTTATGAAAACAGCTTATAAATATTACCAAATGATTTCATAAACTAAGATGGCCTATAGGCTAGGAATATCTACTGTATATAAATGACCAGAAGTCGTTCCAAATTCATAAATCTAATGCAATTATAGTACATGTACATACATGTAGAATACTCATTTTGCAGTTGCTACAAGGAAGCTTTAAGGTGCTAAAATAACAGTGCTTGCAATAAAACCAACAAGAAGAAGTAAATAATAGTTTCCCCAACAGAATATAATACTGTAAAATTGGATAATCTCATAACAAAAAGCCACAATAGGTACCTTTTAAGCATGGGTATTATAGTCTACAAAACAATGGAGTTTAGAAATTTACTAAAGAGGGAAATTCTTTGAAATTCAAAAGATTTGTACATAATTTTTATTTACATTGTAGATCAGAGTCATTTTATGAGAATTTTTCAAATGTTTCATATAAGAGCATATATGGTATTGAGTTTTACCAAACAGTTTTGAGTTTGGAACATATTGAGATTGAACGATTATATTAGAGCTTAAGGAAATTTTCAAATGAACTTCAGTTAAGCTGTTTTCTCCTGTTGAGGCATTACTCATTTTGATATTGTGGAGTGCTAACTTATTCATTCACATGTTTTTACCTTTTGAGAATCTGTAAAAGGTTTACGAAAAAGACTGACCCTACCCACCACCTACTGGTCAGTGTTTTCCACAGGTAGCCTCAAAACAGGGTTTGAGGAAAACGGTAAAAGACCGACCATATCATGTGTAAAAGACTGATCATATTTGTAGCCTTAGACTATTTATATGATTTGGTAGGCAACATTTTTTATCTATTTTGTTCTTTTCAATTAACTTAAAATGATTAAAATGAAAGGCAAGCAAACACTTTTAATAAAAATGATTTGAAATTGTCATACTGTGAACACAATTTAATGTTACATGCATTATCTTGTCAGGATCAAAAGTTACTAACCATTTAAGCACACCATTGGAAAGCGATTTTTGTCATATTGAAAGTAATTCTACCAGATTGATGTTTAACAATTGAGAAATCAAACATTAAGTTTTAAGCCAATTTTTCCTTATTATACACAAATAGAAGATCCTGAAACTTCACCCATAAATGTGGAATTGATTTGTCAAAATAAAAATCACCCTTTTATAAATGTGTGACGATCTATAATAGACTTATGCTATATAACAGTTAGAGGTGTTGACACAACGACCTCGAACCTGTGAACCCTTGAGTATTATTCCGGGATCGGGCCTTTTATACTAAACGGTGAGCAACACCAGAAACGAGCGTTCGATTTGCTAAACGATATGCGTCACCCTTTAAAGCAGCTTATAAAGCGGCATCAAAGCGTAACAAAGCTTGATTAAAGCGTCGGGGTCGTAATAGGTCGTAGAAAGGCTCGGGGAAAAGCGGGATAATCGGCAAGAGCGCCAAAAAATTTAAACTGTTTAAAAATTTTGGGCGCTCAGTTACGAATTGATAAAAGCGCCGAGAGCGTATCAAAGCTTAACAAACCGTAACAAAGCTCAGCAAAGCTTGACCCAAAGCGTAGGAAAGCTTTACAGAGATTGGTTCAAAGCGGGGACCCCGGTCTCTTCACTGTTTGTTACCACTTGACACGCTTCGTTAAGATGTCTCAAGATTTGCTACGATCTGGCAGGAAGATCTGACACGAGGTCAGACGCTTTCATCAATATCTGACACTTTTTGTTACACTTTCATGAAGGACTCTCAAGCTTTCCAACGAATTGAGACGCTTTAACCTAGCTAAAATGATGACGCTTTGCATATGGGTCACATGTTTTTTGTCTACATACAGTCATCAGTTATATGTAAAACTATGAAACACCAAATATGTTATTGACATACTGGTACCATAGACTTACAAAAATTGCTACATTATGTACATATTATGGTACAAAATAGATGGATGTTAAACACATGAAAATAGCTACAATAGACTTATATACTGCATACTATGCTACAAACTAGTATGAACACAATGTAATCTTAAAAGCATTTTCTCATCATGATCCAAAGTGACTATAACCAAAATAACATTGGTCTTCTAACAACTGAGACATCATCTAAAAATAGGACATTATAGACCACGACGATGTTACATTTTTCATGTGTGTTTTTCATCGTGATTTAAATTGGTTTAACACATTTTAATCACAACCTTGTAAAGGTACTTTAGTTATTGGATTCCTAGTTTTTAGTTTTATTTTCCTCTTCTAATTTGAAATCTATTCATCTTCATGTAAAATACAGACAGCGACCACTGACCATGTGCACCCAGATGTGGAGAGTGACTGGTCAGCTCTAATTAATGATATACAAGAATATTTAAAGTCCCCATATAAGTTTGAAAATATGTTTTTATCATTCATGTACTATTTGGCAAGAACATGTGTGAATTAATACTATATGCATTGGTGTGAATTCTCGCTTATTAAAAGACAAGTGTGACCTCTAAAAGTTTTAAATAAATTTCTGATTTTTCGAACAAAACCACTTTTTGAAATTAATATATAATTAATATATAATTCACATTTCATATACTTTGATAACAATGGGTAAGACTGCAATATAAGCCAAAGTGGTTTGAACTTTATATGGGGCCTTTAATTAATGTTCATAAGTAGAGGTAAACATCAACATATGAGATTTTGATACAACACCTGCAGTAAATAGATGGTTTTTCACATGGGCATCACTCAAGGCAAATGTAAAACAGTGAGTCAAAAGAAGATCACTCTCATCAAAATCATCACTACCTGCTTCTCTCAAATGAGATAATTCACCAATTAGTGGAACAACTACCTGATAAAAAAGCTAAGCGCGAGGTCTGTTATGAGTATTCACATATCAAATATGAACAATATCACTCTACTATTTTCCACTTACAGCAAAAACTATATTTCAAGATGGTCACCATTGTTTAAAAATAATTAGATTTTAAACTTAACAAATATCCTTGTGTTTATTCATCTATACATTTTAAGGATTTATATTAATATTGCAGTTTTATATGTTGTACCTAAAATACTGTAAAATTAACACCGAGATGGTGGCCATTTTGAAACCAGTGACCACCCGCATTTTAAAAAATTATCTTGTACTCATATGGGGCATATACATATAAAATATAAACAATATTGGGCCAACGGTATTGAGTTCTTGCCCGGACATACTTCTGTACATACAGACATACGGATCCACTCTCTATGAGTTATCAATATACTTACCATCAGTACATGGCCATTTAGGAAACTTTAACAACCAGTCTGAGACAAGTTCAGCACTATGCCTTTGAGATGGGATCCTCTCTATGGAAACAGGCATTCTACTAGCATTAACTATTTCAGCAATTCTTTCACCTAATTCACCTTGGGCATCAATAATACTTAAAGGATCGTATTTGAGATCATGAATGGCTTTGTCTGAACGAATGACATCATCAATGAGTGTGTATGGAGGAATGTTGTTGGAGTTGTTTGTCTTGGCTGAATTGTTATCAGATTCTCTTTTGGATCCTTGGGTATCTTTATAGTTAACCTTTAAAACTGTTTCATTTATTTGCATATCATCTATATTTTCTGCTAATGTATCATTGACATCTAATGGAGTATCCTCATACTTTACTGAAGGGTTCCTGTTCTTTCTTTCTCTGTCATTATTGTTTTCAACAGACTCCAAAACATTTTCAGATTTCACATCAATATCTATGCTTGTCTTTAAATTGCCATTCTTAGCATTTGAATTCATGTCCATGTTTCCACATTTGACATTGTTCCCTTTAACATTTGTTAAAGTTTTCCTGTTATCAGACATATGTCCAGGTGAATGCTTCACTCTGGATCTCATTAAGACATTTCCAAGATTATCTGATTCATGATCATCCTCCCTGTCAACTTTTTTCATATCTGTCTCTTCATAACAGTTGTTTTCAACTATAAATTGTTCATTCTCATGGTGTGAGCCATCAGAGGACTCATTCTCCCTCTTATATACATTCTCATGGTGTGAGCCATCAGAGGACTCATTCTCCCTCTTATATACATTCTCATGGTGTGAGCCATCAGAGGACTCATTCTCCCTCTTATATACATTCTCATGGTGTGAGCCATCAGAGGACTCATTCTCCCTCTTATATACATTCTCATGGTGTGAGCCATCAGAGGACTCATTCTCCCTCTTATATACATTCTCATGGTGTGAGCCATCAGAGGACTCATTCTCCCTCTTATATACAGATAAAGTTACATTCCTGCTAGTATCATCACTTGTGTTCAATTCATTCATGATTACCCTCCACTTAGTGCCAATCTTTGCATTTATAATTACAATTGTACCATTTCTTAAAATTCAGAGACAATGCAGAGACAATTCAGCTTGTTTACTTTATTCCTTGCTGATTCCACTCTTTGTCACTCTATTTTCCATTTCAAAACATGACCATAATTCCTTATGGCTATCCTAACTTCTATACTATACTGAGATGTGTTTGATCTAATTTTAGTGGTGTCCGGTATATGTGAAGAGTCTTAGACAGTTGATATAGTACAAATGTAACAATGTTTAAGACCCTGTTGAACTTCTTCAATTGTTCCATTGATTCTTAACTAATTTAATCCTATGCACTGTGATATGAAGGACCAATTATCAGCTTGTCCAATTTTATATGGTTAATATTTAATGCTATCAGATAATTTTCTTATAACTGGATAACATGTCTTATTTATCCTTCTTGAGACAAATGCATGGCAAAGAGGTTTGATTAAAAAGGAAATACAAGTAGTAGAGAGGATAAGAAGTCGGTGACACAAACTTTTGTTTGATTATTAAGCATAATTATGTCCTGAGACATCTTTATCGATTGTCTACCCTTTGCATTCGTTCGACTTCACTTCTTAAAAGAGAGCTCCGTCTTCACTCTTGTAGTTTAACTAGACTCTGCACGCAGGGTATCGATTGTCTGCAATGCAGATTCGTAATTGCACCACAACACAGAGCAAGTTTTTGCAAATTGCACACAAGATTTGTATCACATAAAAACGCAATATATATCAGAAACGCAAAGTGAAGGATATTGTAATATAACTGACCAAAAAGTTGCATCAGATTTTATATTGTCACAAATCAAATCACAAATAATACCAATCTTCAAAACACATGTTATATCTATTTTAGTTGTGTCAAGAATATAAAAGTAATTTTATTGGTAGCATAAATATGTTCATTTTTACAGGAGACCGTCTCGCAAAAAGTTTAAGGTCATGTTTTTCTAAAGTGCTAGAATCTGAGGTATTGAGAATTGGTATAAAGTGGTTCAAACTTAATAAACTAATAAACATTTTAAGTCCAAATCTCTTCTGCAAAGAAATCAGAAGTACTGTAAGGCAAAATGTTTCATTTCATCTGGTCCATATAAAGTTTAAGCCACTTTGGCTTTATATTATAGTCCATCCCAATGTTATCAAAATGTGCTTTCCCAGCCTATCGTCAGGCGCAATATTGGTCAATATTTGAGGTCTACTTTTGGTCTACTCATGAGGCGTACTTCTGGTCTACTTTTGGTTTTTCTCTGTGTTAAATCCCCATAGTCAGGCGCGTTTCAAATATTTAAATTAAGCCAAAAGTAGACCAGAAGTAGACCTCATTTAATGACCTCATCAGGTTTATCAGGTCTATATTTGAGGTCTAGACCTCATTTAAGCCTCAACTATCTGTAAATCAGGTCTATATTTGAGGTATACTTTTGGTCTACGCCTTATTTGAGGTTCACTATTGGTTTTCAGGTCAACTTCTCTTCTGCTTTTGGTGTACACCTTACGTTAAGGCACATTTCAATTTTGGAAATTAAGCCTTAAGGTCTACTTTTGGTCTAGACCTCATTTCAGGTACAAGCCTCACATACCTGTAAGTAAGGTCAGGTCATGTTTTGTTGTTTCAAAGTAGAAAAGTACTTAGTACATATCAGTTCCCTCCATAGTTGTTAAATAAATTGCATTTATTTTGAATTGCTGTGTTGCTTTCTAGGATTAACTTGTCTCATGGATAAGATACAGATCTATGAACACATTAGAAAGATGAAGCAAAAATTACACAGTATTCTTATATAAATTATATGTAGGCTTCTAATATGATGTATTTTTGTTTCATCATTTAAATTTAACAATATTTCAATATTTTATTATTTTCAGACATCCTTCTTTAGGTTTCCCAGATTTTGATTATTTTTTTAAGTTCTGATAAAAACCATTAATAGGAGTTGAAAATACAGTTTACTGGTCTGTTAACCTAATATATTATAATCTGTCTCCTTCGTGATTCTGTCAAAATACTACAGTAAGTGTGGCTTTTTCAGATTTATGTTTTCTAAGTTTTTAAAAAAATTCAATGTTTATCAGGTCTAGATTTGGTCATTTTATAAATGTTTAAGTTTTTAAGGCGCAGTTTTGGTCTATATGCCTGTCAGTGAGGTCTATTCTAAAATGTTTTTAGTTTATCAGGTCTAGATTTGGTCATTTTGAAAATTGTTCAAGTTTTTCAGGCGCACTTTTGGTCTATACGCCTTACAGTGAGGTCTATTCTAAAATCTTCTAAGTAAATGTGGTTTAGATTTGGTTTTTAAGGCGCAGTTTTGGTCTATACGCCTGAAAATAAGGTCTATAACTGGAATTATTGTGAGTAAATGAGGCTAGGTTTTGGTCTAAGCCTTAAAAATACCTGTAAAAGAGGCATACTTTTAGTCTAGACCTGAAAGTAAGGCGCATTTAAGGTTAACTTTTGGTCTACGCCTCAAAAACCTGATGATAGGCTGGGTTGTGAAACTTAATTAATTTCAAAAAGTTGATTTTGAAGGTTTTCTTATTAAACAAGGCACAAAAGTTAATCATGCTCTAGAACTTCTTACCATGTAACATATGCAAATGGTTTGACACGTAGCAAAAAGTTCCTGCACATATTGTTACACATTTTCACAAAAAAGATTTGATATTTTAGGTGAAAAGAACATATGTATTGCTATGTTTGAAAATAGGTGAATGGCATAAAGGCCTATTTTAATGAATTTTGAAAACCTTTCGTCCTTCGCTTTTCGACATAACAGAAAACACATACATTTGCTTACAAAATCAACAATATATTTGAAAATTAGAGTCGATGAGCAAAAGAATCATATATGATTTATATAAAGTTGGTCTCGTATTTTTTGTTTTAATATTTTTCCAAAAAGTTAAAGGTAACAAAAAATGAGCAAAAAAGGTCGCTGTCGACAGATTCTATTTTTATAAGTGGTTTTCCTGGAATTTCGATGACAAGAAAAGTGAGAAGCCGCCTGCCCATGCACCAAGCTGACAACAATATTGACAAAGTGTACCTTTATCGCAGGTACAATAAAAATTGTGTCAAATATATTTAAATAAAATTTTAGTTGTCACGCACATTGTTAAGTAATTTACACCAATGCGTAGCAAGGAATCAACTCATAGGCACAGAAAATGAAAAAAAACAATAAAAAATAATAGATGAACATGCAAGATAATATGGTCTGTTCTAGCAACATCATACTCATATTGAAAGCTGATCTTGAAACCTCATTTTTCGAAAAGAAAAATAACAATATTTAAAGAAATATTCAACTTTTGGCTGTGAATTCAGCTTCACATGATAGAATTGAATACCAGGTACCATACAAAAGTGGAGCAGGACTCAACACTGAATCGAGTATGAAAATTAATCAATTTTCCGTCTTATCAAGAATGTGACATGCAACATCAAAAAAGTCCCCCACCTTCCCCCATGAGGGGAATTACTGGGTAGACTTAAATGGTTAAATATTCAGAGTTGCAATGTTTATATCACATGAATGGAACAATGAGTATGATTTCTTTCAAATGCTTGGTGTTGAATTACTTATTTGGGTTCACATCACTTTTGTTAGAAGTGTATTGTATTGAGCATGTACAGGTAAACATGTTTATTTGACTTAACTATACCTGTCACCTTCCCTTGCAAATATGACTAGTAATATAATAAGAATTACATTTTAATTTCATTTCCAGTCAGGTTTTTACTCCATTATCAAATTAGATATATACCTCGTATACACTCATATACATAGGCAAACATATATAATCTAGCAAATCTCATTTCCAAAAGGCCAACAGTGAGATGGAGATGTTTGAATGTGTGAATTTAAAAAGGAAATATTAATGACACAATCTGAGTTAACATTTTGAGAACATATCATTATAAAATGTTACAGATAATTTGAATCTACATGTCTGGACAACTATCGAATAAGAGATGACCCCAGGGTTATGTGAGCAGGAGGGAGATTTCCCAAAGATGAAAGTTGGTACTAGCACATTCAATAACCAATTTTATAAACAGGCCTCATTTGCCATTGAAATTGATCTCTCAATGTTCACTATTGTTTTATGATTATTCTCTACAAATTTGGATGGCGCAATTTAAATAGTATTACCATAGTTTAGAAATAATGGTGTTTTCCTTTGCCTATGCACAGCTTTCAAAAATCATGTGCTCATGATTATTCATGTTATCATATCCTCAAATTTGACTGATAGGCATGCTTTTAATCAATTATGTTCATGAATACCAAATAATACCAATTAGAACTAGAAAAACAGCAACTCCACAGAGTAGCAAATCCCACCGAACAAAACATATTTTGATTATTATTGGAATTCTTTTTTGAGCAGAGCTTGTTTGTCCCTAGGCATCAACATATAAAATGTAAACAACCGTAAATTAGCATAAATTTGAATACAGTGCTGATACAAATTAATTGATAAGTCGTATAGTTGGCATATTTTCTTGAATTTAAACATTTAATGTCCTAAACTCCCACAAACTGCAGAAAAGTATACACCGTAAATCACATGATGTGTGCCATGTTTTTTTCTAGTGATTTTGTTTCGTTTCTTGGAGTTTGTGTTTCAGTGTAACTTCCGCAAAAATGGCGGACCAATGACAGAATTAACAGGTAAAATCACTTCAAAATAACGCAGATGCGAGTAGGTATTTACCAGTTTCACCACTAGGTGGCTCGCTCGTGTCAGATAGCATGGTGGGTATAGCGGGTAATATAGCAAATAAAACCGTTAACCCGTACCGGTCCAGCTTTTGACCCGTACCGGTCAATTTTCGTTAGCTGCGTATACCAAGGGTGCTTATGTATCTATTAGTTATGCAAATTAAAATATGTCCAGTAAAAGAAAATGTTGTCTGTTGAATACAAGAAAAGATATTTCACTTTTTGTGATTTTGTAACATTGGGTCTATGAGGAATCAACCCGAACAAGAAGTCAATCGAGAAGTTAATTAACTTTCAAAAAAAATTAATTTTCAAAGTTAATAAACAATTTTCAAAACCATATTTCTAGATGTACTTTTACATGTAGATTTCAAATATGACATCACTTTGACTGAATTTTGAATATTTAATCAAGATTATGTCTACTCGCATCTAGTCTATTTAAGAGAACTTTTTTACCTATAATAGCAAAACTTTTGTTTTATATGCATTCTATCTATCAGATAAGAGTCTCAGGGGTATGTAGGCAAATTCATTTTGGCAGGAGAACTCTGTTAAGTTTGAAAACTCACCCTTTATTATTTTGTATCAGCACTATAGTAGTATGTATCCTAGAAGTCAGTCTGTTATGATGTACTACTTTCCTGTGGAAATTGCAGTGAAATTTTTTGCACAAAATTATCAATTAGAGGAACCATTTCTTCAATAAAATAAACATTCTTTTTGTACAAAAATTCAATAAGTACTAACAAAGGTACAATAAATGCCACATGCTATCTATTGCAAGACTTATGCCTGGCACAACTGTCACCATGTTATTAAGTGTTTTTAAGTTTTGCAAGGATCCTGCCATGACCGTGGTATTGTCATCGTGAAAGCCTGGTATAACCGTGACAATGCTATATTATATTGCAAGGCCTGTTATGACCGTGGTAATGTTAAAGCCTTATATGACTGTGGCAATGGTTGTAAGGCCTATCATGACCGTGCTAATGTTAAAGCCTGATATGACCCTGACAATGTTCAAGTTCTTGAATGAGATTAGAATTATAGTTTGCGGTAATGAATTATGAGTTAAAGTAGTAGTACATGTAGTAGAAGTCTAGATTTACATATTTAAGGTAGATAAACCATGAAATTTTTCATTGCAGTATTCTCATGCTACTAAATGTCACTTAATATAACCATTGTCACGGTCATTTTGTGCTTTAACATTACCACAGTCATGCCAGGCCTTCCAACCATTGTCACGGTCATATCAGGCTTTAACATTACCACGGTCATGACAGGCCTTGCAACCATTGTCACGGTCATATCAGGCTTTAACATTACCACGGTCATGACAGGCCTTGCAATATAGTATAGCATTGTTACGGTCATATCAGGTTTTAACATTACCACGGTTATGACAGGCCATGCAATATAAATGTAATATAGCATTGTCACGGTTATATCAGGCTATCACGATAACACTACCACGTCCTTAATAACATGGTACTGGTTGTGCCAGGCATAAGTCTTGCAACAGATAGGGTCTCATAAATGCAATAAAAAGTAACACAGCATATTGTCAAGTGGAAATAAAGCTAGTTGACTAAATAGGATATAGTCTAAGCACTAGACTATAGATAAGCAAGTCAGATGTTTTGATTTTTATGACTAAATTACCTCAATGAAATTGTATCATTTGAAGCACAGGAACATGTAGCACTATGATATGAGATGCTTATATAAGATGCTTATGCCAGATCTGAGTCAATAGCCTATATACTATGGAATTTTTTCTGCATCTTTATTCGATTTTCACACTTTTGTATTTGATTACAACCATTCGATATTCCACTCTATTAAAATAATTCGAATCACGTAATAAATTTGTTTGTTTTTACACATTTATATTTGATTTATGTACCTATATATGCGGTAAATGCACTTGTATATGCGGTTTATGTTGTTCAGTGTTTGGTAAAATATCACATATTTAAGTTCATGTTCACACACGAACAAAGACGGTTGACACATATATTTAGAACACGCATCAAATACAAATACACTTTAGACCCAAACAATGTTCATTTACCGAACAATCATAGAGTACAAAATAGCACGGACATATAGTGACTTACCCCACATAATTAATGACATGTACTTTCGCATAAAATTATGTGGGGTAAGACTTACCCCACATAAATGATACATGCTGCATGTAGCATAAAACCATTCGGTAAATCATGTGACCAGTGACGTAGAAATTATTTCAAAATGGATAAAACAAGCAAAGAAAAAGAATTTGAATACGATTCATATTCACAATTCAGAGAGGAAATTGAGAAGTTATTAGATCACAGGCATGAGGCTACAAGAGATCCTTTCTTAATAGAAGATACGTTTTCGCGATTGGAGAATCACACCAGAGCTCTTTGAATATATAGATGGCGCAAGTCACATGGTCGAAGTCACGTGACTTACCCCACATCAAAACAGTGAACATTGGTTTATAAAAGCATTCGGTAAGTCACGTGATTTACCCCACAAATTAATATGTTTACCACAAATGAATATGTTTACCCAATACAAATGGTACTTGGCATCGCACATATTTAAAATACTTATCAAATTTATATTTGATCGGGTCGAATACAGTTTTGAAGCATTTTACATATTTGTTGCGTAAGGCAATCAATTATATGTGGGATAGTAGGTACCATTTGTTGTAACTGGTTTTGTTTATGTTCGGTTTAACTTACTCCGTGGGGTAAAAACCGAAGATATTAATGTTACGAATATTGATGCAATAAATACACTATAATATACGATAGATATATTGACTCAGATCTGGCATAAGCATCTCATATCCATGGCCCATGTCATATCATACAAAAGATTTGAAGAGGACTTTCCGATCAACATGACATTGAGAAGTTTAAATTTGTATGATGGCCCTTAGGTCAATGGACTATAGATGTTTTCTGAACTGGAAACAGAAAGACAGGTGTGTTTAGTAAATGGATGTTGTTGTAAACAAACCAAAAAACGAAAAAATCCTGCCGGAAACATTTTTAGTTTTCATGTATTTGTACAACTGTTAGAGCAAACACGTCTCCCGTTCTATACCGTAGTGATGACTAATTATGTTAACACAAAAATTATTATATCTAAATAAAGCTATAGTTAAACTTACCGAAGAAATGCTTGATAGATTCGTTTCCAAAATATTTAAAAGTTTTCAACCTTCTGCAATTACTCAATCTCCGAGCCTTTCGTTCAGTGCAATCCGTACGCAACGAACGAAATGTTACTAGAGGCATTCTCGGTGAATAGTGCCCAAATTGAATGCCCAAGTTTTCTGTCATTCTAAGGGGTCTTTTTATGGAATTTGCTTTAAATTAGTAAAAAATATTTGTAATTTGCTTTAAATTAGTAAAAAATATATGTAACTGATTTGCAAAATAAATATAAAAAATTTCTAAAAAACTGTCTTATTAGTGTCTTATATTAACTCGGCGAATAGTGCCCAAAAGGAGTGTTTTCAATGGCAATTTAACATGGGTTGGGCACTATTCGCCGAGTTATAAATAGGGAAGGATCAGTTCAGTGTCTTATATAACTCGGCGAATAGTGCCCAAAAGGACATTTTTCAATGGCACTTTAACATGGGTTGGGCACTATTCGCCGAGTTATATATAGGGAAGGATCAGTTTAGTGTCTTATATAACTCGGCGAATAGTGCCCAAAACCACTTTTTTCAATGGCACTTTAACATGGGTTGGGCACTATTCGCCGAGTTATATATAGGGAAGGATCAGTTTAGTGTCTTATATAACTCGGCGAATAGTGCCCAAAACCACATTTTTCAATGGGAAGTTAACATGGGTTGGGCACTATTCGCCGAGTTATATATAAGACAGTTTTATATACATTTTAATTCATTTTTTTATTTTTCAAACAATATTTTATGATTCTTAAATTGCCCTTTCATTCTAAAGAGGGATTTATTTGAGGGGCCTTATAATAAAAAAGGGGCATGGTATTTTTGGGAGAAAAGAAATAGAAAATTAAGAAAAATACGAAGATTTAAAGTTGGGCACTAAATAAATAGTGCCCAAAATACAATTTTCAATGTGTATTTAACATACTTTGGGCAGTATTTACGTATTAATGAAAATATAAAATTATGAAAAAAACTAAGATTTAAAAGTTGGGCACTAAATTAATAGTGCCCAAAACCACTTTTTGATTTTTGATGATATATAGATGTCACTTACATTCATTATTTCACAGCAGTCCTTACCCATAATGCACCTTATATCGCCGGAATATTTTTGTTAATAATGACTAAATATTCGTTGCGCACCTCACTGCAGTCTCCGAGCCTTTCGTCCAGTGCCATCCGTACCTCCTGTGCCTGTGCTTGGTGAAGGTACGCAACGAACGAAATGAATTTTGAGAATGACCTCACTGTAAAAAAGGAGTTACGATTGAACTGAACGAAATTCTAGCACTGATTTTAAATAAGTGTGAGCCAAATATCCATTGATGCTAGATTGAACCTTGATTTATCCGTTTTAACAGGCAGAATTTTCACGATTAATCACAATTTGTACAATAACATAATATGCCAATCGAGATTAAGGCATCTTCAATCAACGCTTTTTTGATAAATCAATTGAGTGACTATTGCCTGATTGCAGGTTTTTAACAAAACAAATCAAAACAATCGGGGACATATATTTTTTCATCTTTATTCAACTTTCCAGCTCCCTAATTCAGTGATCATTGGAAGTTGACAAATATGGATCTCATAGACACATACAATGATCATTGGAAGCTCAAATACGGATCTCTTAGACATGTAGTCAAGGAGGATTGGCTCCCAGAGTGCACCACCGATATTCTGTCCCATATATGGGTATGTCGTAATACAAAATTCGAATTCAAACAGCCGCCATTTTGTTCACTTCAACATTTAAATCGTGAATTTTGGTCTTATTTCCAAACGAAAAATTCCAAAACTCACAAGAAATGATCGAGATATTGGTTCGAATCTTTTGAACTGTTTATTTTGAATTTATAGTCGGTTTTAATTTCAGAAAATAACGACATTTCGACGTTTTCATTGTTGGAAAATATCGAGTTTCGATCCTGGGAGCCAATCCTCCTTGACATGTAGTGCTAAATTAGAGCCGATAGCTATGGATCTCAAACATTAGTGATCACATGAAGCTGACAGTTGTGGATCTCATAGATATGCTTTAGTGGTCATTGGAAGCTTACAACTAAGGATCTCTTAGAAATATATAGTGATCATTTGGAGCTGAATACTATGGATCTCATGGACATATAGTGCTAAATTGAAGCCGACAACAATGGATCTCAACCATGGATGTCGGCCCGGATGTCGGACATAATCAGTGATAATTTGGAGCAGACATATTTTGATCGATCTTCATAACATTAAGACAGCATTGGAATCTGATAACGATGGATCACATTGGAAACGTGTACATCAGAGTAAATCACAATTGACACAAAACACTATTTACAGGAAATCATCGTTTATGCCACCTTTTAGCAGATTGAGTCCTGGATGCTATTGGACAATGGTTTTGGCCAATTATTTAATTATTTTATGGATTTCGAAAATAAATGACGTTTTAACTATAATTGCATATATTCTTCTGTCATATAGTTCTCGTGATAGAACCTGCAGAAACTTGAAACTTTTGAACATTGAGAAGCAAGTAGGAACATTTTTGTAATACAGCCCGGTCACATGGCCCTTCAGGAGGCTTCAGAGGCTTACTTATTGTCATAACTGAATGCTATGAGTCAACAAAAAGGGGTTTTACCGGTCGAATAACAAATACTATGCGTTTGAATATAGACAATTGTACTGTGTACTGCTTCGTCCATCTCTTCTAAATGGCTCCAAAGGAGGAGGGAAAGTATCGCAACAGATTTTTGACAGTCACATATTGAATTTTGGCTATTTTCTGAGGATTTAAAAGGTGCATATGTAAGACCAATGCATATTTAAGACCAATCCTTTTAGATAAAGTGGAAAACAATATGTCCCATGTTATTTTCCCATAGGGAAAACTCGTGCGATCCATTGCTTTCAGCTAATTTTGGTCACCCATAATGGATATCTTTAAAACCCCCAAAGGGGTCTAACTGTGTGTCAAAACGCAACATATTGATGAAACAAAAATTGAAAAAGGAGGGGTGGAAGGGGTTGAAAATCAGAACAACATTTCAGAAAAAACATGTGGGTGGGTTGTTTGCTTCTTCCCTGTCTCAAAGTCGAAATTATTTTATTATCTCTATGAGTGCTTTTCCTGGAGGTAATGCATTGATCTAACATATGCACCTGTTTAAATCCTCAGAAAACATCCCAAATCCAACATATGACTGTCGAAAATCTGTTGCGATACTTTCTCTCCTTCTTTCAACAGACAGCCAAGTAAAAATGAACAAAACACCCATGGAATATGAAACAAGTGACACATACCTCTTATACCCATATTATAAAGATAGGTGAGTTCTACAAATACCCTGAATCATAACCATCTAGATACACTACTCTCTTACAATTACCATCTAATCGATCTGAAATGTACTTTCCTTGCCTTTCAAGGAAGTTATGCAATGAATTTGGTTCTCTGCAAAATAATCTAATTGGATTAAACAAAGATAAAAATCATCTCCAATTAGATTGGGGTTTATACGAAGGGTTTATAATCGAGACAATGCATTTCTTTTGATAATAGCAACCTAGCTTAGCACCCCTTAGCAACTTGACGTACAATTTACTCACTATATATCTATCAATAATGAAGTTCAATTTCCTGTGAATGAAATATAACGAACACAAACATTTTCTTGCTCAATATAACAAGATAGTTTCAGTTTAAGATCTGTGCTAATTAGATCACATTCGTGAGGTTTAAAAGTTCATGAAAAATTGACTTTTATCAAAACTTAAGATAAAAGAATATAAAGTCTTGACATGATTAGGTTCATACTTTGGATGGGTTAGCTTATCCTGGGGCTCATTGAGAGTTGATCGCGATCATGAATATGATAACAGTCGCTCAATAGACTGGCGTAGTATTTTACAAAAAATATGTTTTTCAACAACATTGAGATTTTTGATCGTGTTGACTTACATTGAAATGATGCGTTGTTGTTTTGGAAACGTATATAGTATAATGAAGGACATTTTAATGTAATGTTTTGATAAAACAGTACTAGCATTCAAATGACTCGAAAGATGAGCAAACTAAACGCATTATGTATTAAAAATCAAAAGAAAATAAGAGCTTGGAGAAATCCTATTACTTACATAAATATGTAGTAATAGGATATGGTCGAAGAAAACCCACTGTCATTATACGCATATTGTTATTTAACAAAGATTGTAATACAAATGGCCGCTTAGAGAAACTAAATTCAGATGATGGAGTTGCAATTTTGAAGTGCATATTTTGCAGGTAAGTTGACATTTTTATAATTTATGAAATACCGATATAGCCATATACAGTTTGGTGACATTTATGAGGGTTATTTAACAGGTGGTTTTGGATACAAGGTATATCCTGAGAGAAATACAATATATCTACCCGAGGGAGAGACTTTGTAATGGAACAAACTCAGATCCTCTTTTTATCAACCAAACGAGAACACAAATTATACGGAAACAATTATCATCATGATATATACGGGTCAATAATGGCTCCCAGTGAACACATGTTGATCATCGGCTCCTAACAACTGATGTAATTAAGGATTATTGGATTATTTACCGGGATTATCTCAGGTATATCAAAGATATATTTCATGAGTTGAAATCATCAATTAATATTAACGCATAACTAAGGATAGTTCCGATCAATATTCACGCACGAAGGTCGACGTTGCCACACAAAGCAAACAAATTCATGCTTGAAATATCAATAAGATAGATAAAGCTTAGGTGTCTGAGTTCTATAAAATTGTGAATTTAAGACACAAGGATTTCATTATTTATTTCAGGAAATCGTCTGCTTGATGTTTTTATTATCAGCTATACAGATGAAACCTGATGATGCAGTTGCAGTTACCATAGTTACTGATACTATTTATTACCTTCTCACTACAGTGGAGTTGTAACACAGAAAGATATAAAGATGAGACCTCCGAATGGGATCGGTACGATGGCAGTCGTGACCAATAGAGAACGGTATAGTGTACCAGGTCAGGACTATTTTTATGATTTTGCACATAGATTAATAGCCTACGTCATGCTTTGATGTCAATAAGAAAAATACATATAAAACCTTATTGGTATGGTCCGTTGCATAGATATGTTTATGACTGAACTATTGAAATGCTTCGCTCAATTTTACCTTGTGGTGTTGATAATTTGCCATATAGCATGAAAATTTCATTTATTCTCTACACGAGCGAACGTGATACCTGGAACGTGGCTCGCTTGCATGCGCAGTTTACAAGTTCGAGAGTTTACAAGTACTGACAATAATACTTTACAAAATATATTATTGAAAAGTTCCATGATGTTTAAACTATCATGCGATAACATAGACACATAAACGTATGTAAGTTCTTTTACAAATATATAAAAACTTACCCATAAACTGAACAACAGTGGTACAGGTATCAATTTAATTAACGTTGGTGAACGCTAGAACAGGGTATTATAGAAAAAACGAGCCATTATAACTTTAATAAATAGTACCGTGGGTACTGGGCTCACATGGTGTAGCTCAAAAGTGAATGATGGCTAAAATGGCAGAAAATAAAAAAACGGATATAACTTTTTGCCGATTTTTTGTAACAAAATTATTTCATTTTTATATTTATTTCATTTAAGTGTCATGGTTAATAAATACACTAAAATTTCATAAAACAACAATAACCCAGGCCGTCATCGACCTATAAGACACTGGCATGTAAAAATTCAATAAATAGCAATAGTCATAACATTAATTAAAAGTCTGTAAAATTATCTAAAAATAGCACATTCTCTTAATTTTAACATCCGACCACAGGCTCTGGCAACGTGTAGGTAGATGCGTGAATCACTCATGAGTTTTAAAAATTGAATGTCAGAGTCTAATGCCTGAAAATTGCATATTATATTTGTTACTTTCTCAAGCAACTCAAGTCTGACACAATTATAAGCATAACACGTCATCAATACATGGTATTCATCCTCTATTCCATCGTTGCACATAACACATTGTCTCTCCTCAAGAGGCAAACGTTCATGTCTTCCCGTCTCGATCCTAATCGGGGCTACAACGCTCTCCGGTCCATGATAGACAGGCTCGACTTCAGATATGGTTCACAATTACAGTCGTTCTTAAACAATCTAAATGTTCTCAATTTGTTACGCTGGGGTTCGTTTTTCGTACGATCGTAACTTACGATTCCGAGAAAACCATTTGTCTCTGTTTTGATGAACAATGACTTGCGACCAAATCGTAAGTTACGATGGTTTCAAAAACGGACCCCTGTCTAGGATCCCGTCGGGTATCATTCCAGATATTTTCTCTCCAAGCAAGAGGTGAACTGAACATCGATCAATTTATTCATAGTTGTATCAAAAGGGTCATCAAACTGTAAATTCAGATCATTGGTAATAATCCGTTTTAAATTGAAGAATCATACAACTACTCTTTACAGTGACATGGGTTTTTACAATGCAGGACTCCTGAAATTATTTGTAAAGCTAGGAAATGGGCCACAAGTGAATTTCGCAAGACAAAAATGGCGACCATTTTGAAAAAAGGCGAGCTTTTGAACCAGGAGTTATATGGGGAGTTTTATGTATTATCGTTGAACAAAAATAACTTAAAACGAGAATCCTATCGATAGAGGTTTTAAGGCAAATGGTCCAAAAGTGGATTTCGCGAGACAGATGGACAAATTAATGTTAACTCAAATGGCGGAAAATAAAAAAAACGGATATAACTTTTTGCCGATTTTTGTAACAAAATTGTTTCATACAACTACTAGGCGAGTGGGAGATCCAGCAAAAAGGCCTTATTTGTTGACCTTAATTAAGATAGCTTGCAACCGCATGAATCATACCTGACTATCATAATATGAATATGTAGATTTCAAAAATGACAATAATAAAAATTGAAAAATGGCCGATCACTATGGAAACGGGACGCAAAAGCCACGCCTACTTTTTAAATTTCTTACTTGATGGTAAATACATTTTAGACTGTAACTTTCTCGATTTTTAACAAATCTTCACATTATTGGTATCTGCTGAAGCGTAATAATGAGTTCTTTCACCTCAAGCATAAATTATGTTAATTCGCTCATTTGCATATCCATTATGACGTCATAACCCTTCTTTTGGCCTCAATTTTCCACATAGTTACAACAAAGTAACAGTGTTTTATTAGTTACACTTCTAAAAATGGATAAAAGTAGGTATATGTAGTGCCAATACAAGCAAGAGTATGTCGGCTTTTCAGATATACTGATATTGAAGGCTGCATGTTGGTTAGAATAACATAAAAACTCGTTGCCATGGTTACCATGAACTTTTCAGTAATTTAGGCAATAAAAACATTTTGGACTTTAACTTTCTTTGTTTTTAAGCAATCTTAGCATAAAGGGGAGTTTTCTGTATTGATATTGAACAAAAATAACTTAAAACGGAAATCCTATCGTCAGGGGTTTTAAGGCAAATGGTCCAAACAGATGGACAAATTAATGTTAACTAAAATGGCTGAAAATAAAAAAACGGATATAGCTTTTTGCCGATTTTTTGTAACAAAATTATTTCATACAACTACTCTTTACAGTGACATGGGTTTTTACAATGCAGGACACCTGAAATTATTTGTTAAGCTAGAAAATGGGCCACAAGTGAATTTCGCAAGACAAAAATGGCGACCATAGTTACACTTCTAAAAATGGATAAAAGTAGGTATATGTAGTGCCAATACAAGCAAGAGTATGTCGGCTTTTCAGATATACTGATATTGAAGGCTGCATGTTGGTTAGAATAACATAAAAACTCGTTGCCATGGTTACCATGAACTTTTCAGTAATTTAGGCAATAAAAACATTTTGGACTGTAACTTTCTTTGTTTTTAAGCAATCTTAGCATAAAGGGGAGTTTTCTGTATTGATATTGAACAAAAATAACTTAAAACGGAAATCCTATCGTCAGGGGTTTTAAGGCAAATGGTCCAAACAGATGGACAAATTAATGTTAACTAAAATGGCTGAAAATAAAAAAACGGATATAGCTTTTTGCCGATTTTTTGTAACAAAATTATTTCATACAACTACTCTTTACAGTGACATGGGTTTTTACAATGCAGGACACCTGAAATTATTTGTTAAGCTAGGAAATGGGCCACAAGTGAATTTCGCAAGACAAAAATGGCGACCATTTTACAAAAAGGCGAGCTTTTGAACCAGGAGTTATAGGGGAGTTTTCTGTATTGATGTTGAATAAATATAACTTAAAACGGGAATCCGATCGACAGAGGTTTTAAAGCAAATGCTCCAAAAAAGGATTTTGCGAGAGAGATGGACAAATTAATGTTAACTAAAATGGCTGAAAATAAAAAATGGATATAACTTTTTGCCGATTTTTTGTAACAAAATGATTTCATATAAATACTCTTTACAATGACATGGGTTGTTGCAATGCAGGGCACCTGGAATTATTTGTAAAGCTAGGAAATTGATCATTTTGAAAATAGGCAAGCTTTTGAACCAGGAGTTATAGAGGAGTTTTCTACATTGATGTTGAACAAAAATAACTTAAATCGGGAGTCCTATCGACAGAGGTTTTAAGGCAAATTGTCCAAAAGTGGATTTCGCGAGATAGATGGACAAATCAATGTTAACTTAAATGGCTGAAAATAAAAATAATAATCCGTTTTAAATTGAAATTTCATACAACTACTCTTTACAGTGACATGGCTTTTTACAATGCAGGACACCTGAAATTATTTGTAAAGCTAGGAAATGGGCCAAACGTGAATATCGCGAGAGATTTTGAAAATAGGTTTTAAAGCAAATGGTCCAAAAGTTAATTTCGCGAGACAAAAATGGCGGCCATTTTGAGAATAGGCGAGCTTTTGAACCAGGAGTCATAGGGGGGGGGGGTAACCTGAAATTATTTATTAAACTAGGAAATGGACCAAAAGTGAATTTCGCGAGACAAAAATTGCGACTATTTTGAAAATAGGCGAGCTTTTGAACCAGGAGTCATAGGGGGGGGGGGGGGGGTCGAATTCTATATTGATGTTGAACAAAAATAACTTTAAACGGGAATCCTATTGGCAGAGGTTTTAAAACTGTCCAATTGTTGACAGACGGACAGACAGGCGGACAAGTGAGTGATTGCAATAGCTCACCATGTGAGCTAAAAAGGGAAGCAGTTGTCGTGTTGATAACTTGAAAAAGTCGTTTGGACATTTTATGTTTTTGTCCAATACTTTATTGGATATACTTACAAAGTATCACTCTATTGGAAGAAATGAGTATTTCATTTTATAATACGTTCATTCGACAAATGCTGCTAATGGAAAAGCACAATGAATTGTTTATTGTAACCTTTAATTATGCCTTATATTTACATCACAATGGCGTTCTAAGAACAAATCATAAAGTGCTAACACTGCTGAGTGCCCCATCAATAGCAATAACAAAAAATCAGCAAGGTCTGAACTAACACAAGAACGATTGTATGGACTACTTTTCAGTCAAGAATCATGTTGGCTTGCCCTTTTTCGTTACCTACTTCAATTAATAGAAGATGAAAAGCTGACCTGCATCATGGGAAATCATGGCCTTCTATTATACCCCTTTCTAGAAAGCATATTTCTAGTTGAAAACAGAAAGATGAGCTTCAGAATCAGGTGCTTTTATATACCAATTTACGCGCGACTGTTGAATATTATACTTTATACATGTAGATGGTAAGGCAATTGGAATGAAGCAGTTTTTCTTTTTATATCGGGTGTCCCAAAAATGAGACAACTGATGAACCAAATTCACTGAACATTTGTACAAAGTAGCCTAACAGTATCATTAGCAAGTTGTAAAAATCAGGTGATAGCATCTGTCAATCAGTCAAAATAGCTCGTCTGTATGTCATGTATAATTAATTCGTTTCATTCTTCCCAAATATCCAATGTCATTCTCAAAATTCATTGGAGGTAATATTGTTAGAATAATAAGGAATAATATTTTTGCTGGGAAATGGACTAATAATATAAGTGACTTTTACATTGATTTTTTAATTCAAAAATACACACATAATATGAGGCCAATCTCTACCCTCTACCCTAAAATGCCTCAAGTAAAGTTTTCAAAGAATTTGGTATGGGATATTATGACATACCATCTTGAATTTCTTAGGTTTCACATAAAATTTACCTGATCTTTTTCATATTTGTGTACCTTGCTAACGATACTCTTACCCCCCTATCACACCAAACTAGTTCTTATCCGTTCTTGTCAGTCCTACGAAAACGTCGTAAAACGGGCTCAATCTAGCTGTGGTCGGGAAATATGTCTAAAATAATTAGCTACTTCGTTCATAAACATTCTTCAATTCAATCTTTCAAGACTGAAAATGATTGATAGATGCTATCACCTAATACAGAAATTGTCACTTTTTGGAACACCCGTTATTAACTGAAAGGGATTGGATATGGATTTTATTCCGAGGGACAATATGATATTTCCTGACGGCCAAGAGGGCCAGGGGGAAATATCGTATTGTCACGAGAAATAAACCCATATTCAATCCCGACCAGTAAATACGTTTTTTATCCCATGTTATTCATAAGTGTCCACATGAAATCATTAGTTCAAAATCCATATCTGATTTTTGTATGAAACAAAAACCAGACTATATCTTTATTGTATAACATCAAAAATTCAACAATACATATACAAGTTCATCACAGAGACCAAACGCATTCGCTTATTGCACAGATTTCTATGACATACACTGTCTCTATCATAGCATAATCATGATAAAATTACAATTCGCCTGTTTACCTACTATATTCACATATTTACACAATTTCCTTTTAATTAGGGATCCTGTACACATGTATGGATATAATTGAGTATAATTGCCTTATTTTGTGAAATATCACGAATTCAGATTCAACGATGACCGTTAATATCCGCACAGTGCGCACATGATATCCACACCATGTACCACTTGTTTTCGTAGAACAGTCTGCATAGGGTGTAAATATATCTTCACATGTTATTTGGTCTATATCCTAGCAAAATGATGATAACTCGATGTTTGATTAACACACCCTTGCTGAACCTTCATTTTCTCTTCAAGCCTTTCACCAGTAGAAATATGTCACTGGGCATTAAAATCAATCCCAATATATTGATAAGAAAATAGGTTCTTGCTTTTATTTTGGTTACCTCTAAATCGCTTGTAAATAATGCTTATCGGCTTTGGAAGTTCGATCTGTCTCTTTAGTATCACCATTGTATGAACTGAATTGCACGTCTCATTAGTATATACTGTATCCATAGCCCATGACCATTTAATGGGTTTTCAAAACAATTCATATCCATCCATCCATTCACCCACCCACCCCATCCACCCAGCAACATTATCCAGTCACCTATCCACTGGGCATTCAGCATGCAAGGAATGCTTAAATATCAATCCTAGCAACCATGTTATTGTCCAATAAAGGGTAAATAAAGCTAGATGTTTACCAATAATGCATCCTTCTTCAAAGGACTTCATTTATGCTTAAATTCACTTGTATATACTTGTAAAATACCCTTGCAGCAAGGATGCAATAATGTGGCGGAATCTTATCCTCTATCGGTTTCCAATATGGTGTTTACATTTGTATCAGATTGCGACAATCGAATTATAAACTTATCAGCTTTAATCCCATAGTAATTTTTTCTGCGATCGCAAATGCGATTTCGTAAAATCAGGTGTTATTCGCAAAAATGCCCGATCTGACGCAGAAACGCATAAAACAAGAAATATGAAGTTATTTTTTACTGGTGTTAATTCAATCGCAAAAACAAAATATTTCATTAGCTTCTTGTGAATGCTGTTTTTGCAAAGGATTCGTATCGATATGGTGAACTAAATTCAACAATGTTTTTCTCTTAAACCAATCATTGAAATCATTCTGTAAAAATACGGTCCTTTATGTAATGTTGACTGATTGACAACAATTTAATGCGAAAATTATTTATATATATTTTATATAACTGTTTTTGTTAACATTTTTTGATAACCTTGAGTGCCAAGGAAACCAGAATGATCCAGCTATATAAATTGAATATGCATTCAGGATATCCAATATCCAACTGTAGATATAGAGGTAGACTATTGTAATGTTATTTATATTCCTCATTTAATGAAACGGGACATCGATTTCACGGTGCTGTAGTCAAGCTACAAGCCTACAAGGCACGCATTTTGAAACGTCAAACCGCGTGCCTCTTTTCAAAATGGCATAGGGGGAGGACACGGGTCCCAAAAGGATCTAAAATACTAGGATTTCAAGGTTCATTTCGTTTATTGAGATCCGACCTCCCGTTGACCTTTAAAATATGTTAATATAAGGCAATCTAAGAGGTCCTTAAAAGGTCAGTAAACTCACATTTTTGAGTCTCAAAGGTCAAGGTCAAAATCGATGTCATTTTCCTAATTTTCGTTTTTACCACACCACTGTTCAATATTTTGCTTTTAAAGGTAAGAATAGAACATATACATTTTCTTTCTCATTTTCCCATCAATATCAGATGTCAAAATCATTTTTTGAATATAAAATCTTGAAGCTGGAGTCTTGAATTGTGAACTTTGTTCAATTTCACCAATCTTGTTTTATTTGTCCCCTGTAACGATTTCTACAAATATTCAGTCTAACAGTCACCAAATCTACAGTTAAATATTCAATCTGATTTGCGAAAATTGCAATGCATATTTATTAACTGCCAGTAGTAAAGTGTAGTAGTAAAATATTTTATTAAAATCTCACACATACAATACATACATATTAAAATAGTTTTTTTCTTTATATATCCAAAGACGTATGCCTACCCCGAGGACAATGAATGCGCTAGCTAAAATGAAACGTTAGGCACATGTTCTCAACATGATTGTTTTCAGTTAAAACCTGGGGATAACGTAATCACGTTTCACCCATTGGATTACGTGTTATAGCCTCTTTGTGTTCTAATTCTTATTTGCATAACATGTAAAGAAATATCTACTTTTAGGGCTGGTAATTGTTATTGTTGAAATGTAAACAGACATTATTTTCTAAACCTCCATTTTTATCAATTTTTCAACAATTTCAATAGGCATCTTGGATTACCAAGGTATGAAGTTTTGAAAATCTTTTAATGAATATATACTGTGAAACCTGATTTGTCCCGAAGTCAAAATTTCGCACTTGTTTGCATGGTAATGACGATTTTCAAAAAATCATCAAATGCCAAACTTTTGTAGGGACGTGTAACCTTGAAAAATAGCACCATGGATTACAAGTAATAGATATTAACAATGAAAATAGCACCATGGATTACAAGTAATAGATATTAACAATGAAAATAGCACCATGGATTACAAGTAATAGATATTAACAATGAAAATAGCACCATGGATTACAAGTAATAGATATTAACAATGAAAATAGCACCATGGATTACAAGTAATAGATATTAACAATGATAAATTGACTAATTCATTTAACTATGAATGGAATAATTGCAGGTTCTGTTCATATTTAAATGAGTTGCCCATAAAATAGATGGTTGATCCGGTAGCCGATAGCCGTTATTTGCATTCGCGAATACAAGCTTAATGTGGGACTACCATTACTGTACTTTTACACCGACTTTAAAAGCCGACTTTCTATATTTGCCATCGACCCTTTCTCAAAAAAATCGGTCACAAATATGATAATTATATGTTTATGTTTTAAAACCTACGTTCATTTGCATGTATTATTTTTGCTACCACAGGGTAAAATCGTATTCGCCACCGAATGAACACATCATAAAACGAGAAAACAATGCAGTATAAACGTCTTAAATGACGTTAGAAACACAGACTTCAACGATCATTTGCAATCTTCACACTTTATTTACTCTCACTTTCGTTCATCCACTTCAGAGTTCAACACAATGTACTGCCACGCCAGGCCACGGGGAGCCGACAGCATTTATCAGGTGCCAAACCCAAGACTTAAGGCTAAGAGACAACGAGAACGAGCACGGACCCATCCCCGAGCACAGCCGATGTTGTATTATAGAGCACCTGGGAACAAAATGGTATTCGCCGAATATAACGGACCAGTTCAAACGGTACGACAACTACAACAAAACCATAACGAAAATGTTCTCACTTGCACTGTGTAAAAAACTTGCTTCTAATTTTGACGTTTTTGGTGGCATATGGACACCATCTTTAGAAATTGCCGACTTCCGATTTTTGATTGTGGCTTGCCAACTGTCCGCGAGTTGTTATTACTCTGGTTTAGCCGTTGTCAGGACAATAGTCCCGAGAACGTCTCAATCTGTTGCTTGTACAGGCAAACGATTGAGACATTCCCGGGATTACAGTCCTGGCAGGGAATAAACCCTGGTTTCTATTCATATTGTCTGTATTGACTTCTAAGGTACTGCAGAAGCCGACTTTGCAATCAGGTTGGTAGAAGCCTGCTTCATATGGTTTTCGAACCGGTTTCTGAGGTACTATAGAAACCGGTGTAAAAGGGAAACGGGAAACTTCAAGGCTTTTGTTCCCCAAGGAAAATGGTTCTAAGACATTATATACAGGGCGTATCAAAAAAACGCAACAAGCAGTTATCTCGTAAAATCACAAAACTAGTGATGCCTACATCAATTTCATTTGATTTACCATGAAGCCACATCCCCCCTCTTTGCAATGATATATTCATTCACATGTGGTAATGGTTGGGTGAGAAATCCTTCCATTTGCACAGTGTGTCAAAATCGGCTCTGGACCAAGTTTCTTTTGGAGCTATCTCAGGAGCATCTGTGTTCACAATTCCTCCACCAGATATTGCAAAATATGGAGAAAGAATAGTCAATGGGCTGCTTTTCTCCGCTTTAACCCACATATGACTCCGCTGAACCATGCATGACATGGAGAGATGAGCGTATCTTTATGTGCAAAGAAGTGGTGGCAATTTGGAGGGGTATAGGATGTATTCTTGTAAGGGTATGAGTATGAACACTTTACTGTCTATGCCACACCTGCCACACCTTCTTCCAAATGCCCTTATGCCCCATGCACTGACTTTTGCAATGTTTAAAACTTGGGTCCGAGCTGAATTTTACCCTACTTTGCGAATTTCATGATTATTCGGCCAGCCATGACTCCCTGTGAATGAATGACATTCCATTGCAAAGATGAGTAGTTTGGCTTTTCGGTACATTGAATGAAATTGATGTAGTCGTCATCATTGGTTTCATGTTTTCTTCCAATATTGTATTGGGCCCCGTACACTGACTTTCGCGATGGTTATAAATTGGTCCCAAGCTAATTTTAGCCCACTTTGCAAAAGCAATGATTACTCGCCAAACCATTACCCGATATCAACGCATGATATACCATTGGAAAGAGGAGACACATGGCTTTATGGTACATTGAATGAAATCAATGCTGTTATCATTGTTTTTATGCTTTCCGAGATAGCAATCTGTTGCGTTTTTTTGATACGCACTGTAGAATAAGGTAGCACCATTTATAGAATAGAACCATATTTCCAGGATTATGGTCCATCAGACCATATTTAGATCGAAGATACAACGTTTTTGTATCTTTAGTACGATTGTATTTTTCTCTAAAATGTTGGACCTTTCATTGATTAATCTGGTTTGATAGACTAACCTCAATTGAATATTTGCACGTATTGTATACACGTTTCGCACAAAATTAAAGCTAATAGCTAAAACGTATTCGCATCTCGCATAAATCTCAGAAGTACTCGAAGGCAAAAACCACTTTACAAACTGGCTTCTTACGTACTACAGAAGCCGGCTCCTGGAGTCACTAAGAAGCCGGCTTTTAAAAGCCGGCTTCTGAAGGACAACAGAAGCCGGCTTCTGGAGTCACCAAGAAGCCGGCTTTTACAAACCGGCTTCTGAAGGACAACAGAAGCCGGCTTCTGGAGTCACCAAGAAGCCGGCTTTTAAAACTGGCTTCTTACTTACTGACGTACTGCAGAAGATGGCTTTTGAATATAGTTTATATTGTCATATTTTTGCAAAACTATAAGGGTAAATTGAATTCTAAGCATGGATATCGATGAATTTGCTCACGTTCATCAATTCCAAAAATATTATGCATTGTATTTCTGTTTAATAAAAACGCACCGCTCATTTTTCAAAACTGGCTCCAATTTGGAGCCAGTTTTCAAATCAGCTCGCACCATTAAAAACAAGCTATTAACGGACAATCTAGCCACTGGGAATCATGAGATACTGTCTCCCGATCATTTTGATGTGGATTATGCATCAAATTCTCGTATAATCTGCATGAAAATAAGGAAAAAAAACTGAAAAAAATGTAAAATTATAACATAATTCAAGATTTTTTGCAAAAAGTCATTTCAAGTCAAAACTATAAGAGAAAATTGAAGTCTAAGTAAAAATATCGATGAATTAGATCATGTTCACTAAATCAGAACAGATTATGCATTGCATTTCCGTTTTATAAAAACGCACCGCTCATTTTTCAAAACTGGCTCCAACTTGGAGCCAGTTTACAAATCAGCTCGCTCCATCTTACACAAGCTATGTAGGGACAATCTAGCAACTGGGAATCACGGGATACTGTCTCACAATCATTTATATGTGCATTGTGCATCTTATTCTCGTATAATTTGCATGAAAATGAGAAAAAACTGAAAAATACGTAAAATTGTAACTTATTTCAAGATTTTTTGCAAAAAGTCATTTCAAGCCAAAACTATGAGAGAAAATGAAAATGAGAAAAAACTGAAAAAATACGTTAAATTGTAACTTATTTCAAATTTTTTGCAAAAAGTCATTTCAAGCCTAAACTATGAGAGAAAATTCATTTCTAAGTAAAAATGTCGATGAATTAGATCACGTTCACTAAATCAGAACAGATTATGCATTGCATTTCCGTTTAATAAAAACGCACCGCTCATTTTTCAAAACTGGCTCCAACTTGGAGCCAGTTTACAAATCAGCTCGCTCCATCTTACAAAAGCTATGTAGGGACAATCTAGCAACTGAGAATCACGGGATACTGTCTCACGATCATTTCTATGTGCATTATGCATCTTATTCTCGTATAATTTGCATGAAAATGAGAAAAAACTGAAAAATACGTAAAATTGTAACTTATTTCAAGATTTTTTGCAAAAAGTCATTTCAAGCCAAAACTATGAGAGAAAATTCATTTCTAAGTAAAAATATCGATGAATTAGATCACGTTCACTAAATCAGAACAGATTATGCACAACAAAATGATTGAGAAAGAGAAGAAGCTTTAAAAGCCGGCTTTGAAAGCCGGCTTTGTAGATTTGTCTTCGACTCTTTCTCATAAATCTGGTGAATGCGTTATACGAATTTTCCGTTGACCTTGGTATGAACCACAACATATTAGAATTACAACGTTTTATTCCAGTCTTCCCGAGTTGATACCTACATGGAACAATTCCTGGGGCACGCCCTCTTTATGTCTACGGCAAAATATCAAACTGGGAGATACAAGAGAGTCGGGGGTGGATTCAAGCCAGGTTCCGCCTACTTTCGGCATCTGGTGGAGACAATGGAACGCCAGAAGGTGGAAAAAATAAAGAGGACAAGCCGTATGGAAGCCATCAAAGAAACAAGTATGACAACTTACACAAATATATCAGATATGGTAAAAAAATTGTGGAACCATTATGTCGATAAAATGTTACATTATCACTATCGTTTCCGGTCAACCGCGCAGCCCTCTTACCCAAAAACACCTGATTCTGAACACGATTTATGGTGCTGAGTATTGGCATTGGAAATTAAACTTAGTAAATACATTTTTACATTGCAATTGATAGAATCTTATTCTTTCAGATGTAAAACCAATGAGGGTGTTTATTCGCACCAGCTCTAGTGATACAAACTCAAGTGACCCTGATAAGCTCGACGAGAAAATTGTATTTTTATCAGTGAACGACTACTGCCATGTCCAGGATGACGATATGGACATAAAGGATATCCTTAAGCCATATCTCACAAACAGTGAACTGTCAAACTTTTCAAAAATCGAAAAAGAGGAGATTAAACCAGTGAGAAGTTTTATTAGGACAAAGAGTGGAAAGATGATCGAAAGAATAATATACATACCATCAACTGTTTATTCAGGACTTATTAATGGGACCATGGACGCTAAAAGTGCGATATCCCCACATACTAAGCTATCAGATGGAGAAAGCCTAGATGGATGGGGCGCCGCACAGTTAAAAACAATCAAAGTCAGACTGAGAACGAGAACCGGTGAAATAATTGAAAGAACAGTTTTAATGTCATTTACTGACTATAAACTAGTGCTAGAGGGCGATGCTACAGCAGAAGACATATTGAGATTATATATCTCAATAGATATCGGCACTGTGGTGGAAGACTTCAAGAAGTGTCCCTCTCCCACTCTTAGAGAATTAACCGTCACTGTTGGGACAACGGGGGAAGGTATACACGATAAATCCATCATTTTAACAGGTGAGGTATAGATTGGTTTTAGGCAATGGTTAGATCGCAGACAATAACTTACATAAGAGAAATATGAAAATCGATACACTAGAACTGATGAATATTCAAGTTTAAGGGAACTTTCTAATATATTTCCCATGTTATCTGACCCAAATTAGCCACCTGGTGGCTACCTACTGGCATCCATGTATGTTTTAGCTCCAAATTGAATATCTTACCAACGAGCTTGTTTAAAATATGTATCAGAAATCTAGGGAATGTACTAAAAACCCTACGACCCTTCGACCTACGACTTACGATGTCAAGAAATGTTCGATTGCTTGGTACTTTTTCAGAGTACAAAGAGTAGATCGACCATGCAATGTATTCGTTCGTATTGTGATTGAGAACTGCTGTGCAGCTAAATCATTTTATAACATTGATAGAAGTCCATGGTTTGATTTGACACCATTGATTTTATGCAAAGTTCACAAGAAACGATGCTTTAAACATCTCAGGTATATTACCAAAAATAGAAGAAAAAGAATTCAGAACGCTGGGCTCAAAATCCGATTGTTTAGAATAAAAATGAGTCAATGTTCGGAAAGGATAAGTTAAAACCTAAAAACCTTTATCTGTATTTTTGTCCATGTGGGTTTTTTAGGGAGTAGTCATTTCTGTTACATATTTAATTTTGTTTTTATTAGCTATATTATCTCTCAAAAACATAAACAGTGCATCTGACCAATATAATAGTGATTACTTTAGTTGCTTACCTTAATGTATCACTATCAATATATCTTACCATTTTCTTGATCTCACCTTAGTTGGGGGATAATTCATGCTTCATGCTTCACGCAAATATTTACAGGATTCAATCAGATTGTACACTGACCTCTAGCTTGTAAGAAAAATTGATGAGAAATGAGTTCTGCACATGTGCAGTGCATTGACCTACATTTTACTTCCTGGAAACCAAAGTTTGTTTACATCTTATCATACCCCAGATGTACGGTTACCCTTTTTAAGAAATGACAAACTACCATAAAACACATATAAAACATATTAATTGTTATAAGTTGTAAACTGTGCAAAAACTGTGCAATTAAACAGCTCTTCTTTGCTTTTAATGGTGCATCACTAATATTCGAGAAATGGTGTTTAATATAATTTGTGCATGGGGTGTCCCGTTTTGCCCCAAAGTGTCTCGAAAAATACCAGCGCATAAAATGAAACAGAGTTATCTCTATCTGCATTTATTTAGCAGTGATGTTTCTAACATAAAAAAGAATAATGATATGTTTTCATTTAGCTGATTAAGCTCATCGTGTAAAACACTGAAATAGTGTCTCGTTTAGCCCCGGTCTCCCCTACGTCACTATAAGTTACAAACATAAACACGCAACCTACTATTGGATTATGATAAACTTGAATGATGGGTGGGTAGATGGGTAGGCGGCAGATTAAACAAAATCCTTCGGGGATCTCAAGTAGTTGGAACTCTAATACGTAATCATGTATAAACTTAAAACTAGAAAAAACGAGACCAGACTGAGAAATCGAAGATCGAAGGATTTTTAGTAAAATATATTCCAAAAAATTCTTGACACCCAGTAGGTCGTAGGGTCGTACTTAAACGAGACAACTACAGTATATGCGCACGTTTTCGTTTCGATTCTATATGCAAGGTCAACCTCCCTATTAGCCAGGTCAAAACCAAAAAATAACCGAATGTTTTAATCCAAAGTTATAACTTACTTGTCATAGTCTATCTTAGCGCAGTATCAGTTGTATGGGGCAGATTAAATCAATTAAATGAGCCAAAAATTCAACTTGATCTCAGTATTTATTGTGCGTCTGCGTATTGAGGTCACATTGAGTTGCGATTTGATTGGTCAAAAGACCAGAAGAAAAGTAAAATATCGCGCGAAAATTGAATCATGGTTTCCGCATCAGCATCAGTTAGAGTTTTCCATTGGAAAATTAAATGCTACGTTTTGAAACATGACCTTCTTAGAAGATTTAAAACATTCAGTATGGAAATTGAAATAGAATTGAATTAAAGAACCACAGCTGATTTATCCTATTTTACCCTTATTTCTCGACGTCATAAAGTACCGCGAGTTGTTTGTAGAATGAATCGGGGGTGTTTTTCATGCATTTCGCTTAAACATCAATACACTTTAAAACATTTTATTGACTATAAGATTGCTCCATATGATCCCCCAAATGAATGGCAATAATTTCTCTTATCGTATGATCTGTAAAATGAAGCCCTCTGATCGTATCGTATCGTTTGTATCGTATCGCGAGGTCTATACCGTAGATTCGTATCGATATCCAATTTCTCGAATTATGGGACCCCTAGGCCTAATATATAGCATATGTTGGACCTTTTACTACAATATGTCAGAGCCGCTCGAACAATAATATGTCGTAAACATATTGGGAATACATGAGATGAGCCTTTAACCTGAACTAATCCACGAAGCCGCGAATATCATATTATAAATAACGATTAAAATATTCCACATCTATTCGGTCTCTGTCAACAGTAGTGTGTCGGTTTACAGTCTCGGTATACAATTTTGCCGGTTGACCGAATGGAGAGGTCTACAATTGTTTTGTTAGAAAATCTTTTTTTAAGAAAATCTGAAGACAGTGGTAGCTTAACTCTCTGTTTCCGGCACATCACTGCGTACTTACTTGTAAATTTATGTTAATTTTACGTTTCTGTTTGTATTTTTTCTATTCTTTTCGTCTAGTACAGTCAAAATATCACTTTCATCAACGTTTACAAAATGTCCATCTACCATGTTTTTTTCTATAAAGATTATGACGTCATATTCCCCATAATTCACAAGTGAAGTACAGTAACATACGCGGTCAATAATATGATATCCCATGATGCACAGGTGGGGTACAGGCAAAATATTGACCGCTAATTGACCAATCAGATGCGAGTAATTACACTGAGGTACTAACAATACAAAATGTATCTTACCTGATTCTGTAGATTATGAACTAAATGGCTTGTATGAACAAGGGAACTACAATGAAGAGAGTTTTCGCAAGTTGTTCAAGCTTAGACCCGAGCAAGTAATTGTCGACTATGATGAACCCGACACAGTGTACAACACTTCCGATGATGAGATCGAAGAAGCAATTGAGAAGAGAAAAGAAGAAACTGGAGGTAAGAATAATAATTTTACTTCATACTTACTCTTTAGTTCGAAAAGTCTGCACATTTCAGATTTCTTGATGGAGACTGATTAATTTTTTTCATAAATATTTATCCACGCCTAACCATCGTGTCAAAGTACAGCGTCAAAATACCGTCTTACCTTGACAATAGCTACTGATTTGAAGCAAAAACAACGCCATGGGTTTTCACAAATCAACCTTCTAAAATGTAGACGATTTCATGTGCAATAAAAGCAGGGGTTCGAATATTCAATGTATTCCATGATGTAATCCATGCGCTTAAAAGAATCTTACCAGAGGCAAATGGAAACGAGAAGCAACATTTATGAATTGGATTCTGTTTCTTTTCATCACATTATTGAGTGACAGGTTGCTAAAATGTTTAAATCATATATCATTGAAAAGACAATTCATTTTCAGACAACATGATATATAATTCATTTCACATCAATGAGTACTTGTCTTAAAATATTATTCCGATTACCACGGGGGTCAAAATATGATTTACCAATTGCTGAATACAGAATGCTAAGGATTGACCAGACAAATATAACCCCTATGTCATCTCTGTGAATAAAACGTTGATTATAGATAGTCAAAATTATTGATGAATGTATCAAATGAAAGCAAATTGATTTACAAATACAGTAATATTGAGTTCTTTAACCATTTTGATAGGTATTGGTAATATAGCCCAAATAATGTACTGAAGTCTGTATCAAATAGTTGACTATTTACTCATTTTCAAGACATTCTGGAGATAATGCCTTATTTAAGGCTAAAATTATCATGAAATGGTCAATAATGCTGTTGTACTTATATAACTTTACTTAACTGACATTTTAAAGAGCAGACAATGCAATTATAGACACCAGTAGAAGAAATAATGGTTTATCTCATATAATGGGTTATGGCAGAATATAAACTGAGTTTCTTTGCAAAACAATGTTTGAAGCTATCTAACAATCTAACTTTATAACAATATACAATGCATAAAAACAGGTTCCATGATTATTTTAGAGCTATAGAATTGAATAGAACTCATCTCCAATACGTTTTCTTTATATGTAAAAGCCTGAAAGTGTTGATCAAGCAATGCAATATTATGTATTAAGCTCAAAACATATGGCAAAATCTTGTGTTATAATCCCATGATACGGAAATTACCATGGAGTCGCAAATAGTCTTTCTTATTTCATGAATCATTATATCATTTTTTGGGAAATTGAATTATCTTTCTAATGATATATAATTTATGGATATTTCTAATAATACCAGCAAAGATATTACAAAATAGAAATGTGGACTTTTTTGGCCCACCCTGTATTTGCTACTTAAATCAAAGCATAATTACTAGCAATTAGATCAATTCATTGACTAGGCCTAGTTGAATAACCTGACTAGTACTTGTAATGATTTGAGAATGGAATATTGTTTCTTAGCATACAACTGACTTGATGATACCGCAGATATATGATATATAATGTTGTTTTTGATCAGTAGTTTGTTATTTTACTAATATTTGTCTTATGGTAGTTACTTCTAATTATCCTTAGTTTTTTTTGTTCGGAAATTATACCAGAATATACTAAATACCCTATTCCCCATGTGTTTCTCTAACAGACTGAATAATATCTCAGTCTGGTACTTTAATTTGAGGCAGGACTTATCGAAATAAAAAATGTTGACGTTTCTGGTCCGCCCTGTTTATTTTGTACTTATATTTATGTGTGTCATTCGTAGTCTTACTGTTATCTAAACAGCAAGCAAAAAGAGGATTCTGCCCAGGTCCCTAATAGGACCATGTATGAGATAACTCAAACCTGGCAGAAAAGTGTTAAAAAGAATAATGAATAAATAAATAAATAAATAAATAAATAAAAAGAAGTAGAAGGAGAACTACACAAATTATACTGTAGGAGGTCCCTTGAAGGGCCTCCTAATAATTGGTGGTGAATTGACCAATGCTTCTGAACTGAACTGAATAATACTTCTTATCTTGCATCCTCCGTTGAAGAAAATGGCAATCCAAAATGGCGGAAACGTCAACGCTGTACGTTGATGATGGTTAAATAATTTTAAATAAACGAAACTTCGGAAATATAATATTATTTCTGCATATTGGTGTAAGAAGAAAGAGTTAAACGATTAGAGAATATTCCCAGAAAGCTATTATATTTCTATTTAAGATCCAGTGCCTGTTATATCCAGAGTTGGAAAGGATGGCTATGTCTATGATTATTTCAAGGATCCCGTGACAGGAAAATTATTCAAAAAGTAAGTAGCATAGATAAGCAGTCTTTGTTATTTCAAGTATTATTTCAACAAAACTATACGATCATATGTGATTTTGAAAGCGTTCACAATTGTTTCGCCAGAAAATATGCCATTTCGTGAAATAGGTTACAATAAGAATTCTTCGATGAAATGAGGTTATACAACCATTCCATTGTAAAAGTAAGCTGCCGACATGTAAAGCAGGCTGTCGACATGTAACAAATGGTTTCCGAACCCGGGTTTCCTAACTACACCGTATGTAAACAGATATCGGCCAAAATGTGAGAATCTGTGAGATGCGCGGATCTTTCGGATGTATTCCAACAGTTATTTTCTAAAATAAATAACATGTTACTCAGACTTTACGATCAGACGAAGGCATGAGTTCTAGCAGAACAAAAAATAACGGTTAGATTACATTTAAAATCCGAAAGATTTGTTGGATCAATTCTCATAAATTAACATTTTAGTCGACCTGTTATAGGGTGAACTACATCATGGATCTTATACATGTTTTCTTTCATATATGTAATATATCACTGTATTGCAACTTCATAGTCAGGTTCAGTAACTAAGTCAACATTTGAAATTCGTTTGTTCATCAATATTTACTAAGAATGGTACCACAACTGAAGTAAACCTCTGGTTAATTATTTTCAATAAACCTATCAGCAAACGTGTAAATGATGATAATTTTGATGTTCTGTTACATATTGGTGAAGCAATTTTGAAGAGATGGCCTAAATTTCTGAATTTCCCCTATGTCCCTGAATACTCACAGGCATGTATCGAAACATTTGTCCGCTGTGACGGAGCATGCTATTTTTCATAAAAACATTGAGTAAACTCACAATATATAATACTCATATGTTTCGTTATACCAAAGAAAATTACTTACTCCATGCAATGGATATATCATTTTTGTGGGTAACCTACACTTCTGTTTGAAGTCCAATAACGCTAGGAGTAAATGCTATTGAAAACGGCGTCAGAGACGCTAAAATTTACCATTTCTTTCTTAACTTTTTAATGGCAAGATGAAGTGACAGGGAAATATTTACACATGTTTGCAGCATAACTCTGACGGTATTAGTGAGGTCTGGATGTATTTGGTCTTTTTAATTTTTTCAAAAAAAATAATGTTTAAATTGTTTGTCCGCTGTGACGGAGCAATTTCAAATAAGAGATACATTGATTTATATAACATATTTTACAACAACAGGTTTGATACGTCCTCTCATCAAAAGTGTAGTAAAATATATAATTAAATTCTTAACGTAGTTAATGTTATACCCATTACATGAAGTAGGTAATCTTCTTTTGTATAACGAAATATAAGAGTTAAAAAATAAACTGTGTTTCTTTAGTGTTTTTATGAAAAATAGCATGCTCCGTCACAAAGGACACATTTTTCGATACCTGCCTGTGATACCCCTTCTTCAAGTTATGAAATATCCTCAATCAACTGATCCTTGTTGTGCAATTAGGGATCAAATTTGACCCACAAGAATTACAATTCACAAGTTTCAGATTTAGATTTGCTAAGAAAAAAGATTTAACTTTAAGTGCTCATCAGTGTCCTCGATGGTTCAGAATTAACGTTACAAACATATGGAAAAGAAGTGGCATAAAATCTTATGCAGTGACATACCATTGAAAAGGAGACACATGGCTTCATGGTAAAATAAATGAATTTGATGTAATCATCACTGATTTTGTGGTTTTACAAGGTTTTTGCTTGTTGCGTTTTTTATATGTCTTTATTTAAAATACTGTCCAGTTTGTCATTTGAAGACGGAGCAATCTAATGCAGTTTGATCAAATACTCAAGTGGATATTTTAGTCTGATTCAATATTAGTCTGTGCAATATGAACAAGCACCTTTCTAATAATAGGTTGGCTTATGAATATGAAATGGTATAATAGGAAAGTCCGAACGTAATTGGTACAAAATAACACAAAACATCAAACCAGTCCCGTGTCTTAATTGGGGACACCCTGTATTGACAATTTCCGATCTCAACGATCTCGCGGATTTAGTATTTTATAAATGCATTTCATATAAGGTATCTTAAAGGAGGAACAAAGCTGAATAACAACTGAAGATATTAGATATCACTTCATTGCTTCGTTTATTAGAATGATGTTATACTCATAAATGTACTTTTTCACTTTGATTACACAAATATTTCTAAAGCGCCTATATCTACATCGTTAAAAGTGCACGAACGGCGTTTTAGAAATGACAGGTGTAATTTCAAAATAAAATTCCCAGGGCGCTTTAGAAATAAGAAATGTTGGTGTAATCAGGATGGCGATTTTGTAAAGCGCTTTCCACTACGCGCTTTTAGCGGTTTTTCTGGTGTAATTCCAGCAATAGAGAATATCCAGCAGATGTGTACATCTACAATAAATGCATTCTTTTAGCATCTAAGAGAAAACGTAACCGAGACTTTTTCCAGTGATGTGAACTTACTTTCAATTTTGCGATATAATTTGATAACCTATTGCATTTTTTTGCGTCCCATCCATCATTTCCTGTATTTTTGCAGTGACCCAAATGTGTAGCATTCGAAATACGTCTTATTTCCTTTCAGGCAAATGGTAAGAACCCGGGTAAGTAATTTTACAGAAACCGATCGGTATTACACTACACTCCAAAAGCGCCTAACGATTTAAGGCGTTTTTTAGTGACGAAGGGTTCTAGGAGTTTTGGAAAAGCGCTGTTGTAAATCCGCAATCGTGACCTATCTTCCAAACCGGGTTAAAACCGTAGGCGCCTTTCTAAAACGCATGGTGTAATTCCAGCAATTATCTATGTTTTTATACATTCTAATCTCAACTGTAATATTATACGGGCAAATATATTTCTTAAGAGTAGACACTCATCATATTTATGTATCTATTTGAAGGAGAGGTAAACGGCGCATTGTAGTTGGTGGAAGTGATGTTACGACGGATGTTGATAGTGGAATAAGCTCACTAAACACAAGCTACATGAGTGAATCACCACACAGACATATAATTGACCATCATAAAAAGATAGACTTGGATAAGATACTAGAGGAAGAACGCACAAACATTTTAAAAGCCAAGGCTGCAAGACAAGACCAGAAGAAGAATAGAATACTCAGACGAAAGGACTCAAAAAGGGAATTGACCAATCACATTAAGCAAGAAGTCCAAAGAAAACATGAGAGGAAACTGAAACATCCGAGGAGTGAAACAAAAACATTTCGCCTCCCTAGAATAAATCACCACGACGAAGACTCAACAATACCCAAGGACAGGATATCAACTAATCTTAATGTGAAACAATATATTGAAGGGTGCACAGACAATGATGCAAGTAAAGATGAATTTCTACTTCAGAGCATGACCGACATGAGTCGAACAAATATAGAGAGCAGCACAAACCCAACTGTTGACTCCAATTCAAGATCACTGGATAATAATAGTACACACACTGATGAGCTAGAAATGCACAATGCAGGGAAGGATTCAGTCAACAATAGCTCGGAAAGTGATTCAAACAAGGTTGAGCATCAAGATGTTTCTCTACACAAAGTAAATGATAAAATGGCAACAGAAGTCACTAAAGGTTCTAAGCAGAGTGTTTTTAATAACATAAAGTTGCCAACTATTTCTAGAAATAAGTATAACACCAAAAGAAAAATGAAACTTATCATTGATTCACCAGAACCCACAAAATTCCCATCTATTGACAGCAACTCTAAAGATGATAATGCTTCAGAAGTCAAAGATAATTCAACAGATGAGACAGTTGCTAAAGAAACAGTAACATTGCCTCCTATAGATGACGATGAAAAATATTCAGTCACAATGTTGCCAATTAGAAAACCAAAACCAATTAGTAATCTTGCATCGACTAAATTTAAACGTATCAACAGAACACGTTTAACAGAGGTCGTTACATCAGATGAGAACATCAGAAGAAAATTGTCTCCTCCGATTAGTATACCATTCGAAAATCACAAAAGGAACCTAAACATAGGACCGCTAAATTACAAAGCAAATGCTAAAAACTACAATGAAGCTAATGAAACCTATTCCTTGGAAGACAAAAAGTATGTCAGCAACAATACAGAAATTGAAGAAGATAGGATAGAGCTAGATGATATTAAAACAAACAGTATTATTGAAAGTGAAAACGAACCTGATATAGACTCAGAATATACAGAATCTAATCCTGCAACTATTTATGAAGTAAGCCCTGATGAAACTGACTTTGACTCTTTAGAGTATAGTTCATATAGTGAGTTTAGTGAAGGAGGTACTAAATATAAAGGTAGAAGAAGAAAGAAAAGACCTTGGCAAGGTCCAATGAATTTAAGAACATCGGAAAGGGAAAGAGAGGGTGAGTACCAAACCAAAGTTAATAATATTTTATTAAATGATTTGGCTGTAATGTAAAGAATGATTATCACTTAAATACAATAAAGTTAGTAATACTAGAATAGCATTTTTTACCCTATGTGTGAATCACTTCAATCTTCAAGTATATAAGTTTACATTGTCAATGTTAATCAACCAAATTATATAGGAACATTTGTCACGCGGTACTAACTCACCGGGGCGTATCGAAACCAAAACGCCCCGCAAAACCGTCACTTTGAATTTCAAATCTATCCTGTCTTAGGAAAATCAATGATTGTGAGTCTCACACTACATAGTTTTTCTTCAAACTTGTTCCATTAAAACCTTCACAGAAATACCTTTCGGTCGAGACATTGATTTTGTTTACAAAGTCCCTCGCTTTAGCGGCGTTTTGGTCCCCAGATGTGAGAAGTTGCAAATCCTTAGAGATTTCAACCACAATCCTTGATATCTCGCCAGTTCTTCTATCACTCTCCCCCATAATCTGCGCAAGGACTCTCATTACAACCTTCCATCGCTGCATCAACATCTCTACTTGAAACGCAGCAATTCTTACGCAACTGTTCGAAATTGACCAAAACGCCCCGTTGTCTTCCAAAACGTCCCGCAGAGTTTATGACTACAAACGTGTAGTTTCAAGGTGTATAGATCCAACGGGGCGTTTTGGAAGAGAACGGGGCGTTATAAGGGTTGTAATGGGAGCCTTGTGCAAAATATAGGGGAGAATAATAAAAGAACTGGCGATATATCGAGGCTTTTGGTCGAAATCTCTGAAGATTTGCATCTTCTCTCATCTGGGGACCAAAACGCCGCTAAAACAAGCGACTCTGTACACAGAAGCAATGTCTCGAGTGAAAGGTATTTCTGTGAAGGTTTTAATGGAACAAGTTTGAATAAAAACGGTGTACTGTGAGACTCACTTACAAAGAAAGGGTAGGTTTAGAATTCAAATTAACGGTTTTGCGGGTCGTTTTGGTTTCGATACGCCCCGGTGAGTTAGTACTGCGTGATTTGTATGAGTTATGAAGTATCTCGTCATTAGCTTTTTTGAACTACAGAAAGTGAAACATTTCCCTTAATGAATTGTTTAGCAAAGGAAAGAAAAGCTGCCCGAATAAAGGAACTGAGAGACAGACGTGAAAGAAGACTCACTCAACAGGAACGTGTTGACATTGCCCAGTCTAAACGTGACCAAAGACGTGCAGAGGGAGAAGCTGCTTCTAAAATGCTACAAGAACCTTTGCTGGGTGACAATCAGAATGTTCATCTAGATGATGAAACTATTGATGAATCGGATAGAGTTGACAGAAGTGTTGAAACAAAGACAAAGAAAAAGCGAAAAACCAAGAAATATAGATCTAGTGGTCAGACTGGAGATGGCCATAAGGCAAACAAAATTAGAAAAGAGAAGTAAGAATAATAATTCATATTTGAGTACACTTTTGAGTGATTGTTGTTATGGAGTTAAGGCGCAACTTGACATCAAAGGGAGATGCAATTGGATTTTTCATCAATTATTTTCATCATTTATCTTGATTTTTCAAGATTAATTATGACAAGTGTCCAAAACGAGATCTGTTACATATTATGCGAGTTTTGTCAAATTAAAAACAGTATACCAAAATATCCCCAACCCTAACTTTAACCCTAAGCACTAAACCTAAACCTAACCCCTTACCCTAACGCCCAACCATCGACAACGTACAGCGACGAAATTGCCAATATTCTGGATAAGTATGCCTATGACATGATTATCTTGTCCTTTAAGTATGTTTGATGTCGTGCAATTTTTGTTCAAAGTCAAAGAACTGGTATCGATATGGCGAACTGAATTCAACATTGCTTTTCTTTTAAACCAATTATTGAAAACGATGTAAAAAACACGGTCATTTATGTAATGGTCACTGATCGACAGCAATTTAATGCGAAAATTATTTAAATCCTTTACGATTGGTTTTCCACCCCATCATCTCTCCTTCAAACAGTTTTCAATGGTAACCTTATCGCTTAATCCTTCAAACTGAAATTTTTGATGGAAGTGATTTTGGATACACAGACAACAATGAAAAGGTCAAGAGACCTGACACCCAAGCAAGCAATTTTAGTCTAAAACTGATTTTCAATAACTATCACCAGATGGCACAAATACGAAGAAGGTCTCAAGTGCAGCTCTGATATAGGATTTTTTGACGTGCTGTTCTCCCATAATATGTAACCACTCTCTTTTATATTAATACCTCCTGCTAATAATACCATTAGGCTACTCTAGTCTGTAGTGTCAATGGATTCAAATAATCGATTGCTAAAGAGCGGTTCACTTTTTGGACACTCATCGATATATGGGGTTCTGGTTGCAAGACGAACATAATTTGGACTTTTAAAGAAAAACAGCCTTCTCTTCTTAATACAAAACAATATGTGGTCTGTCATAGATCGTCAGCAGTCAGGCTCATTTATAATCTTAATTTTTATATACCATATGTTCGTAGTACATGTAGGTATCACTTACTTCCTGCGAAAGCTATTTGGATTTTGATATAATAGCTTTCCCACGGAGCATTTGGACAGCTCAATGATTGTGACCTTTGTAATCGAATTAAGTCGATCAGCGGCTTACTTTTGGTCTCTAACTGTGTCTTACATCAGTATCATCAATCCGTGTAAGTATTGGAGCGCTGGAGTACTTCTTTTTCGATCAAGACTTGTAATTGTTAGTCGAGTGAATCGTTTTACTGCCAAATTCCAATATGGCGGTTTCTGCTCGGACATTTTCGTAAATCTCCGGAGGTTGTCCGAACCTAACTAATTTTCAAAATTCATTTCGTTCGTTGCGTATCTGGCACCTAGCAAACCGCCATATTGGAAATAGGTCTAAAAAATTTCCACTCGATGAACAATTTACAAGTCTTGATCGAAAAAGAAGTACTCCAGCGCTCCAATACTTACACGGATTGATGATACTGATGTAAGACACAGTTAGAGACCAAAAGTAAGCCGCTGATCGACTAAATTCGATTTCAAAGGTCACTATTGATCAGCTGTTCACTTCTCCGTTTGAGAGCCATAAGTTTCAAAATCTAACATGGCTCTCGAAGTGAGTAAGGTATCACCCGATTGCTCTATGCACCGGTATGCTCACTAGGGGTCCTCTCCGATTCGATACGTTGAAATTGATCGTTTATCTTCGATATTAACAATACTTTTTTTGTTCAAATGAATGCATCGTTAAAATATGTGAAATATCTCTTTCTGAATAAATTGACACGGCAAACCAAAAACATCAAAAATCGTTTGAAGAACTCCGAAAATGAATGTTCACCTTTAAGCAATAGACCTAAACAGTGTATTTAAAAATGCAATGATTTTTGTGTTTTCGGGAAATTATAATCACTTATTAACTATCAAATTATTTAAATCGAATCGCGTTTATATCAAGATAAATATCACTGTATCGTTGGATCCCTAGTAGGCCTACGGATGTGCCTATATGTTAAAGAGATGAAGAGATGTCCAGAGTGAGACTAATAATTTATTTAAGTTTAAAATGTGCTTGCTGCGGCGACCTGCTGAAAATACTGCGCAGCACTTCTTTTTCAATTGAAATTATAACGTCGGACAGCGGGTTTGTATATATTGTATTATTATTCCCTTTAGGCCTAAAGTGAAGACATCAAGTGAAGTAAACGAGACTAAAACTCAAACAGAGCTGAAGGTAGACGGTAAAGGCGCTACAACGGCAAGGGAGGGAAACAAACTAAAGACAAAACAGAAGCAACCACAGATAACACCAAGAAAAACACATAGGGCTGGAGAAAGTAACAACCCGAAAAAGCAAAAAAAGGATTCGAAAGAAATGAAGGTTGCAAAATACATAGCTGATGGTAATGAAGCTGACAATGAGGAAGATGGAGGTAAATAGAATAACGAAGGCAATCAAAAGGAACAGAAGTATATCAGCAGCCATTTATCTATTCGGCGGATGATTGCCAAGGGATTAGGTTACCGATAATTCGAAATTAAAATCATTTGAAATTAAGTCTTCTAATTGGGTAGTTAATCAAGATTATACAGGGTGGTCAAAAAAGAATGATCCTTTGTGATATTTGTCATTCTAAGAAATAACTCCCTGATATTTTACACATTTGTACATCATTCAATTTCCTACCAACCTACCATATTTCATGACCATCAGACTAATAATCACAATAATACTGCATTTTAAGCAACATGCCCCATAAGGCCACTTTCGGGCTGTCTGAGCTGGTCTATCAAATGAACTCCATACCCTAAACACCCAATGATGCACAATATTGGCTTTGGGACCACTTCAATAACCACATTATCAGCAGTACAACAGACAATGAATGGGCACCCCATAGCCCAGATATGGCCCCATTTAGTCTTTACCAGTGGGGATACCCCAAAGATAGAGTGTAGAGTAATAACACCAGCATGACATTTGACCTCAAAATAAAGATCACATGTGTCGTTCAGGCCATACTTGCTGAGGAATGCAGTTATGTCATTGACATGTTTGGAAAATGTGTGCAGGTTTGCCTACAGCACGATATTGGAAAACTGGGGCACCTTGTTTAAAGTGCTGTAACATTGGGACTATCAGTCCAATTTTCATGAAATAATACAGTCTAGTATGAAATTGAATGATGTACATGTGTGCCAAATATCAGGGCATACTATCTAAAAATGACAAAGATATGAGGAAAAATTAGGGTTGCCGTTTTTTGACCACCCTGTAATTATATCATCATATAATTATAATTATCATCATAACCATTACATCTATTACAATTCAATAATTCTTTCAGAATCAGTTCTTGAGAGGAGTAAAAAGCGAAGAAAGAAATTAATAGACATTGAATTTGTTGCTCCAGTAAGTACTTATGCCTATTTTTTATTTATTTACTATACTCTCAATGTCATTTGAGATTGAAAAAATCAGATATTATGTACCATTATAATTTTTATGTTTATCTGAAGTGATTGAAATATACATTTGTTGTAAACGAAGAACCTGAAATAGACATGTGGATTCCAGATATCTCGACCGCGACCCGAGTCTCCTCCAGACTCTTTGAACTCATCGTTTGAATTATATTGGACTAGCGATGACGAGAATAAAGAGGACTACTTTGAGGAAACAAATGGAATTTTCAAACTCAAAGAAAATGTCCACAGAATTGACCTAACCAAAGTTAAGAAAAAAGATCTCCAAAGACTAGGCCTTGATGTAACACAAAGAAAGCAGCAGATCACTAGGGTGATCAAGGTAAAAGTCAAATAAAGTTTGTACACTAAATCATTAAAATTAACTATTCTCTTAAAAGAAATAATTAATTATTTTCCTAGATATTTCTACAAAAAGATGTCGTTTTTATAGTATTTTGATCTAATCTCTAATTACAGAAAATGTTTGACGAAACTGGAGACAATATCCGAGTTGAACACAAGGGTGAGAAGGTTGGTTTCAAACCTATCACAGAATACACTTCGGACGTTGACACCGAAGAACTTGCTGAGGATAGTGATCTTGACGTTGACACAGGTACTTGTGCAACTGTATATTAAAGTTTCACATGATAGCTCAGACAGAATTGATAGTGATCAAATGATATTGAAAATAAATTAACTCATGATTACGTACTCTGAAAATAACACCATTGTGTAAAAGTGAAAAAGAAAATTGATAATTTAAAAACATGATTGATGAACTTTAGGTTGTATCTTGAACTTGTTATGTCGCCAATTATAATTAAAGATCATTATCTTTATGTCAGGAATTTAAAGATTGTACAGACAAAATAAACTAGGGTATATACTATATAATCTTGAATGAAGAATAGTATCAAATTGTTTAATGGACGAAATAACTTTACATATAAAACTGAGTTCAAATAGGACAAAATCCAGTATAGCCATGAACAAGAAAGGTGTCCTATGGAGGTACGAGTAGAAGAGTCTTGAATTCCGCGAAACAAAAAATTGTTGGATTGTAAGGTAAATCCTTGACTTGATATATCACGTGACATTATACTAAACTATCTATTATACAATCTAATTTTAGTTGCTGGGCGAAGAAGGGTAAACATCTTAATGCGAAGGGGTGGTGAAAAAATGGCGTCTCATATGAAAGATATTATAAAACAATCAAATTTAAAAGAACCAAGAGCTGCTAAAAAAGAAGAGACTGGTAAATAAACAATAGTTTGTAAACACGTATTTAATTATTTTGTTTACTATAAAGAAATTAATCAAATCTTGCAATTCAAATAACAGAGTTCATTCCATATTGATTGCCTCTGTATTTTCAGATACAGGAGTAGACTTTTTGAGTCACTATCAACTTGTAGACAAAATGAAGGTTAATGGATATGCAAGAGCCTTTGTTGTCGAAGATGAGTCATACAGGGGGAAAATTCCATTCAAGGTAGAGAGTCAAATACGTTTTCCTGAAGAAATATTAATTAAGTCATATAAAGGGATCGTACTAGATACAGTACTCCATAAAATAAGGTATTTTACTAGTTCATTCTATAGATTTCATTCAGAATTTTTGAAGAACCATACTGGCTTTTCATTGAAAATGACTAATAAAGGATGAATTTCTGTTAAGACCATCGCCCCATATACGAGTAGAAACTGTGAATGGACACTACGTATATAAAGTCAAACAAAGAGTTCACATGATATCACATATTTGTATCTGATTCACAACAGATTATAACGATGATTTAATAAAAGGTTGAAGCCCTGTACTCAGTGCATTGTGAACTGCAATCTCAAAGGAGTTGTTTTATGCGTAGCATCTAGTGCAACGTTTGGTAACCCTACTATCACACCAAACTAGTTCTCACTACGTTCTCCAAAACGGGCTTCAATTGTGTACGAACGGACTGGACGTAATAAGAACTGCTTAAGGTCTATTTACAAACGTCATCGAACGTACTCAAGCGGGTAGGTCCTCTAGAACTGAGAAGATGCTCAAAATGTTCTTGTGGTCGCCACATTCTACAATTAGAACGAGTGACAGCGTACTAACGACGAGCTGGACGTACTACGAACGGATCCGTCGTACTTCAATCCTACTAGGGACGCTTTTACAACGAGTTGATCTGTCTGAGTACGTATTGAGAACGAGGTAGAACTAATTGAGATTAATAACGTATATGAACGAGTTAGCAAAATATAGCTATCACACCAAACAAGTTGCCATTGCGTTCTTCAAAACTGGTCTAAACTGTGTGCGAACGGAATGAACGTAGCTGCAACTTTCTAAGGTCTATTTACGAACTTCATGAACGTTCTTAGACGGGAAGGTGATTTTAGAATTTTGAAATGATTGAAAATTCGATGGCGACCATACCGTTTTGTAATCGGATCGTGTGACAACGTACTTCAGATAACCTACTAGACCAGGGACGTAATTGCCGTACTTCAATTCTACTAAGGACGCGTTATACAACGTTGTGCAATCGGATATCAATAATTGCATAAACGTGTGCACACAGACATGGTGCGATCTGAATGAACTGCAAATGAGATATATTGTGGAGTATTGAACACTGTTTATGAACGAAGTAACTCATTATTTTAGACATATTTCCCGACCACAGCCAGATTTAGCCCGTTTTACGACTTTTTCGTTGGACTGGAAAGAACGGTTGAGAAGTAGTTTGGCAGACAACGCCTGAGTGGAATGAATCAGCCACAATGCATTGGGTCTTGGGCTTAAATTCTTAAGTTTCACACGGTGCAAAATGTTTTATGCAATATCAATTAAAATATATGAAATGACTTATTTATTATATATATATTCAAGGAGACAATTTGCAAGGATCAAGTTGTCATCTTGACAACCATTCAACACTTACCATTTGACCTGCATAAGCATTTGGCATGTTATTCCCTATGATACTATTTATAGAACTTTACTTATATAAAACTATTATCAGCTTATCGGTTTCATTAGTTTCACTAGAATTTAAAAATGTTAGTTATGTAATGCACAGAAGTTATATCCGCGAGTTATATACCCGGGGTTATATATATGAAATACCCTATTCGGATTGGCTGGATTTGGACATATCTTTCTTAGCTATGTGTAAAGACAGAATATTCACCCAATGCAAAAGGTGCTTGCAGAAAACGCTCGGTGGGGATACCATACGCGTTCATGTGGAACCAACGGTCATTTTTGAATTTGAATTCGTTAATTATATTCAACAAACTTAACAGACAAAGCTGCGCTGGCTATTCAATTATATTCATACATATGATTTCTAATAAGAAGGAAAAAATAGTTTAAATAGTTGTGTATACTTTATTTTATAACGAGGCAAGAGGCACTTTAACTTTTGACCCAAATAGAAAAAAGCAACTCCACGGAATACATGTAGCTAGCTAATCGACAGAGCAAAGCATATTTTATTAAATTCCTTGTCATTTTGTACATTGCATGATAGAAATAAACAAAAATGTAGAGTAATATCGTCTCTTCTTGGCAAAATCAACGTGACTTGATGCCATGTGTTCAATTCTTGAGCAGAGGTCTTATGACCAGAAAACATTAGTGTACTTAATTTTGACCAAATACAGTGCGTATCAAAAAACCGCAACAAAAAAATAAATCATTAAACCTCAAAACCAGCGATGATTGCATCAGTTTCATTTACTCTATCATGAAGCTATGTTTCTGATATGTCATTTATTTACATGGGGTCATGGTTGGCTGAATTATCATTCCTTATGCACAGTAAGCCAAAATCAGTTTTGGACCAAGTTTTAGACATTGTAAAAGTTGAAGTGTATGGGCATCGTGCTATTGGAAGATCTCCTTACCTGTCTGAGTCGTGACTTTTCCATTGGGGCCTATCTCAAGAGCAGAGTGTTCACTACCCTTCACAACATTGCAACACATAAAAAAGAATCATCAACAGCCAGGACTCCACCCATAACTCACAGAGGACTCAAAGAGCTCTGCATGACATGGATAGATGAGCCCATCTCTGTGAAGAAAGAAATGGTGGTCACGTGAAGGGATGTGTGATGTAATCTTGCAAGATTATGAATATGAACACTTAATTGTCTATGCCACAACTGCCACACCTTCTTCCAATAGGACCTGGGCCCCTGCACTGGTTTTTGCAATGTTCAAAACTTGTTTCTTAGCCGATTTTGGCCCATTGTGCAAACTGCAAAACATGATCATTCACCCCTACACGCCCCAATGTAAATAAATGACATATGACTGAAGAGGAGAAATGTAGCGTTATGATAAAATGAAATCAATGCAGTAATCACCGTGTCGTTTCTTTGCCAAGTTTAGCATCAGGCCTGTGCGATGAATTTTTCCAATGTCTAAAACTTGGTCCCAAACCTATTTTGACCCAATGTGCAAAAAGACTGATCAGTCAGTCACCCTATGGAAATAAATGATATATCATTGAAAAGAGGAGAAATGTGGCTTCATGGTACATTGAATGATATCAATACAGTCATCATTGGTTTTGATGTTTTACGATTTATTTATTTGTTGCGTTTTTTGAAACGCCCTGTATAGTGGCTGGTATTTGTGTTATTGAAGTTGTTATAAATTATATTTTTATGAAAAATGGCAGCCGCTTTGAATTGATCTTAATTATTCTTTCTTGAGAAGAGTCTTATGTCAATGTCCCTTAAGCGCTAGCATATGAAATTTGAACCAAATCCGTCAACCAATATTTGAATTTTCAAATATACCATTTATAATGAAAAAAAATTCCTCCTTGAACAGAGGCCCTTTGCCCATAAGATATAAGTCTTGGACATTATTCCATACGTTGGTCCATAAATGGTATTTGAGTTATCTAAAGCCCGGTATACACCAATGGGGCAAGTTGGGACCTCCATAGACTTAACATTGCGTGGGACCTCGTGGGACCTTTTGGGATTTTGCCCCATGAAGTCCGTGGGACTCCATGGGACTCCGTGGGATTTTGCCCCATCGAGTCCCACGAGGTCCCATGAGGTCCCATGAAGTCCCACGTGGGACTCGGTGGGACTCGATGGGGCAAGATGGGGCAAAATCCCACGAAGTCCCATGGAGTCCCATCGAGAATGAACATGTTCATTCTTTTCATGGGGTATCGTGGGATTTTCGATCATATGACGTGTTGTGTGAAGCCCGGCATACACCAATGGGACACGGTGGGATTTGATGGGACTCCATGGGACTTGATGGGACTCCATGGGGCACGATGGGGCAAAGTCATCAAGGTCCCATGGGACTTCGTGGGATTCGATGGGGCAAATTGGGATTCGATGGGGCAAGATGGGACTCGATGGGGCAAGTGGGATTTTGCCCCATTGGTGTATACCGGGCTTATCTCAACGATTCTTTCTCGAGCAGAGAACAGAGATGCTTTTCAAATTAAATTGCATCCTCCTTAGCAGGTGTCCAGAATCCATACCTCCTTCTTCCCCCCTGGTATAACCAGTTTGGAAGCGCCCGATTTAACTGAATCACGTGATCTAATTATGCGCAATGACATGATTTCTGTCGCAGTGTTGCAACAGCCAACCAGACTGCGAGTTCTTAATCGGGGAATTTCTAACTGCTTATCGCAGGGGGTAAAAACGAAAAGAAAGAATATATTCTGGATTTTGAAGCCCTGTGATCGGAGGATGATTAAATTGGTACCATTGATGATCATTGCATTCAGGATGTTTATAGTCTTATCAACTTTTTTCAATAACTGTTGACTCTTGTTCACCAAATCGTAATTATAGAGCTGTATCCCGCGTTTTTACAATTTAAATTTTCTTCGGCCCCATTGACTTAACATGGGATACCAAAATAGCGACTTTTGAGATTTCAAAACGCCATAACTGCCGAATTGGAAATCGGATCGTATTTTCCACACATATTTCATAACTCACACGATAAATTTGAAGAACATTTTTATGTTGACCTACTTTTAGACACCATTTCCTAAAAAACGGAATTAGATTTGTTTACAAGGAATATGATGAAAAAAGACCGAGATAAAATACCGAAGGACGACTTAAAAAGTGGGAAAATAGTGAAAACTCAAGATTTCACCTTGTTCTTGACCTTTGACCTAAATGAAAATTTGATTTTATTTCCGAGTTGCCCAGTTACACTTCCTAGTTGACCATGTAAGCTAAGGGTTATTTAAAGACATCCGTAAAATAAACAATTCCAATAATGAATATTACGTGTTTCAGAACAGCTCTAGAGACATATTTGAGCACTAATGCACCATCATTCATATCACCCAATGTATTCCCCTCTAATAGGCCAAATGACAATCCCATGGGTTTCAGCAAATGGAGAAACCCCCAAGAGAAGACCTATAGGACACCCATAGGCAATTTAGCTCAATTGTAGTTGCCTCGGGAAGCTTGGCGCAATATCTCTCAAGAACT